CTAGAGGTCAGAGGAGAATGGGCCGACTGATTCAAGCTGATAGAAGAGCAACTTTGACTGAAATAACCACTCGTTACAACCGAGGTATGCAGCAAAGCATTTGTGAAGCCACAACACGCACAACCTTGAGGCGGATGGGCTACAACAGCAGAAGACCCCACCGGGTACCACTCATCTCCACTACAAATAGGAAAAAGAGGCTTCAATTTGCAAGAGCTCACCAAAATTGGACAGTTGAAGACTGGAAAAATGTTGCCTGGTCTGATGAGTCTCGATTTCTGTTGAGACATTCAGATGGTAGAGTCAGAATTTGGCGTAAACAGAATGAGAACATGGAGCCATCATGCCTTGTTACCACTGTGCAGGCTGGTGGTGGTGGTGTAATGGTGTGGGGGATGTTTTCTTGATACACTTTAGGCCCCTTAGTGCCAATTGGGCATCGTTTAAATGCCACGGCCTACCTGAGCATTGTTTCTGACCATGTCCATCCCTTTATGGCCACCATGTACCCATCCTCTGATGGCTACTTCCAGCAGGATAATGCACCATGTCGCAAAGCTCGAATCATTTCAAATTGGTTTCTTGAACATGACAATGAGTTCACTGTACTAAAATGACCCCCACAGTCACCAGATCTCAACCCAATAGAGCATCTTTGGGATGTGGTGGAACGGGAGCTTCGTGCCCTGGATGTCCACCCCACAAATCTCCATCAACTGCAAGATGCTATCCTATCAATATGGGCCAACATTTCTAAAGAATGCTTTCAGCACCTTGTTGAATCAATGCCACGTAGAGTTAAGGCAGTTCTGGAGACGAAAGGGGGTCAAACACAGTATTAGTATGGTGTTCCTAATAATTCTTTAGGTCAGTATAGATTATAGGCCAAAAGTCGAATGAACGAGTACTTATGTCCTTTTGATTTCTTACAGGTTAGGCCGTTGTTGGCTAGAACATCATCACATTTTTGAATGGACAGATAAGTGACTTAAAAATGCAATTTTCAGCTGAGTGTATTATCTTAGCCCTCCCTTTTGAATGCAACTTTCAAATTACTTGACAAAAAATTACATCCTGAGAAAAGTGGATTTCTGGGGGTGAAACCCCATAGACTCCCATTCATTCTGCACTCGCCTGCGAGCGCCCCCGCATGGAAAGAGAAGCCAGTCCAGTAACCGGAAGTAACCAGACAGTGTCTCAGACTCCGTGCAGAAGCGAACTGAAATAGGCCTATAGAGCAGAAGTATGAAGTCTGACGTAGTCAGGCTAGGGAAATTATGCTCCAGCCTAGACTCCCTTGGGTGAAATTCCTCTTGAACGTTGAACATGTGGTCGAAATGAAAACAGAATCCCATGTGGACATTACTCCATCAGCAGGAAAAGGACTTAGAAGGGTGTCTCCATAGGACACCATTCCCCCCGAAACTCTTTGCAATAAATCAGTGGTGTATGATTCCTCCACCGACTGGCACTTTTTGGTTATGTGGAACTTCTGTCTACAACATCCTACCCAGCCGATTCAACGGCAGGTGCACCCTGGTTTATGTTCGGCTATCAGAGGAAATACACACTCCAACCCAAGCTCTCCACATCTACAAAATTCAACATCTACCACCAACAATGAAGATGGCTGCATTCCAGGACTCACTTGTTGTCAAGATTTGGTTTGTTCATGGCATGTTCCATGTCTGTCATGTGATTCCCTGTTTGTCATGTGATCCTGCCATGTGTCTTGTCATTGGTTAATCATCTGTTCATTGTTTACAGGTGTCCCCTGTCATTAGTCTGTGTATTTAAGCCCTCATGTTTGCCATGTGTCCTGGTCAAGTTTTGTTTGCCTGTAACCTCTGCTTTTTGTAAGTTTATGTTCATGTCCTTGTTTTTGAGTTTTTCATGCTATGTTTTTGTTTCATGTTTAATCTTCTTTGTAATAAACTGCACTTGGGTTCTATCATCTACACTTGCCTCCAGTGGATCCGTTACACTTGTACACAAACATGGTGGTCAAGAACTCAATTAAATAGCACATGACCAGCTTAAATAAAAAAATAATATTAATCATGGGTGTTAAATACACGTGAATGGAATATGATGTAAATTCTTCAGCACATTTAGCCTAGTGCTCATTTAAAAACATATGAAATGAAAACTGCAGTGATGTAATACTAACAAACACGCAATAAAGATGCCGTCCCTGAAACATCAGCTTTGTGTTCTCGTGTCAGCAGTTCCTGAAGTCCAGATGCAGTGATTATAAGAGCTGAAAGCCTCGTTTATCTCTCAGGTGCCGTTAGAATAAGAGTATAATGTGACCTTCTCAAGCGCTGGATGAGTCTATAATGACACAGAACTCGCTGCTTTAATCTCAACACACATTCACTTTGAAGAACACTGTGTTACACTGAAATGAAAGGATTTGAGAGACCTGGGAAATCTCCTTACAGCGACCCTATGCCTGCAGATCACACACGCACAAACACACGCATGCGCACGCACACACACGTCCTCAAACTGCCTTTGAAAGTTTTAAAGGGATAGTTCACCCAAAAATGAAACTAAGACTTTCAGAACACAAATGAAGATCTTTTTGATGAAATCTGAGAGGTTTCTGTCCCTCTGTACGCTACGCAACTACCACTTTGAAGCTTCAAAAAGTTTTAAAAAGAGATAAAAAACTCTTCACATATAATCATTGATCAGCTAACAAACAGAAGCTCAAACGTGCTGCATAACATGAGGATGGGGTTCAGTCTTCAGTCAAATGATCCTTCAGAAATTTGAAATCTGATTTGCTGCAGAAACATTTCTAATTATTATCAATGTTGCAAATAGTTGTGATGCTTCATATTTTTTTTTTGCAGAATCCCTGAAATATTTTTGAATAAAGAACAGAATCTATTTGAGATGGAAATCTTTTGAAACATTACAAATGTCTTTACTTTTAGCATCATTGCTAAAAATTTTTATATATATTTGCATACTTTTTTATTTGAAACAAATAAATCACAAAATCAACATTTTTTTGTAAATACACATTAAATTTATTACCAATTTTAACACTCTATCATTAGACATCTGACAGTGACTTTATTTAAAACATTCATAATTTTTTCTTTTTCCTCCAAAGAAAAGAAACATCTGAATTCATAATAACATCTATACAAAGACCAGATAACAGGAACAATAATGGGCTTAAAAAGTGTTCTTAATTGTGTCAATGCAAATTCAATGGCAACAAAAAAAATGACACGAGCCACCACACGGTGTGTGTGTGTGTGTGTGTGGTGGCTAAAATCATGAGCTTTATCACAAGGTACAACAGCGTCTGAGAACATGCACTAAAGTGCTAGTGTTTAAAGGCATGCATATCAAACATGATATCTGCACAACCGCTGTCCGAACCCTAGTCCACACATCCCGGAGAAATGTGCACAGGACGCCCAGTGGAATATTGGTCATATGTGGAACCAATCCTAAAGCATCTCAATATAAAACGTCTTATTTCTTACAGAACATACACTGATGAATCAATAAAAATATGATCTGGGATGTTGATTAACGCTCATGTTGTGTTCTGGTCATTTTCCTGAAAATGCTAGTTAATGTTATTGCATTGGACTAAAACTGACTGACTTACTGAATATTGGGTTTGATCTTTTTGATCAACTTTCAAGGACAGCTTTTGCATTTCATTTTGGAACGTATTGATCGTAGGCCTCCTTTATCTGAGCTTATGCACCTCATTTATTGAATTGACAAAAAGACCAAATCCAATATTTGGTGATAATATAGTGTATAATGAGAGAAGCCGTTTAAAAGGCCGGTCATTTTTAATCAAGAACAACAAATTAAGTAAAGGATTTTCAACACAGAACAAGGATTAAGAGAGTAAATATTGTCAAATTTAACCCTGGGTATGTCTTTTTAACCCAAGGTTAACCCCACTATCCTTTATGATTGGTTTTTAGTTATGACAGCTTATTTCCAACTAGAATCCCGTGCACATTCCTTCAGGGTTTTGTGACTAGGGAAATGTGCATAAGTATAATCAGTGTCAATATACTACTCTCCTGTCATCATTTAACATTCAGTTTTCCATTGGGTTTTAAAATACATTATGATTGACATCATATATCATTCGTCCCTGTCGAACTAGAGTGTGTGGTTTTCTCCTTTAGTTTAATTCTCCTTACAAAGTCTTTTTAAATTCAAGCATCAAAGGTTTCCAACAAAATGGGATGTACGAGAAAAATAAGAAAATAGTTTTATAAACTATATACACGGAACATAATTCAACAAAGGATTATTTAACCCTCCAAAAAAAAAAAAAAAAACCCGAACATAAATGCATGTAAACTTTTATGCTGTTCTGACAAATTTTATTACTATCCAGTATCAGAACATAGTTTTATAAACTATATACACGGAACATAATTCAACAAAGGATTATTTAACCCTCCAAAAAAAAAAAAAAAAACCCGAACATAAATGCATGTAAACTTTTATGCTGTTCTGACAAATTTTATTACTATCCAGTATCAGAACATCTGAAAAGAAGTTTGATGTTTTACGACCAACACATATAAAGTCATATGTATTGCATACATGTACATTGACACACACACGAGTACGGGACCGTTGCGAGGTCACGTGTGTGTAGGCACCTCTTATGGAACACTTTGCGGTGTTTTGCGTCAGTACATTCCAGGTTCTTCATTCCAAAACGGAAGTTCTAGAATGTTTTCCGGATGGTTGAGTTCAGCTGGTGCTCACAGAACTCTGCCCTCTAGTGGCAGTTCAATGGTTCTGAGAAAGGTTCTCGATGGTTCCGTCGCTCCGGCGGTGTGCGTACGTGTGGTCAGGCTGGAACGGGGGATAGTGAAGGACAGTCAAAGCATATCACAGGGGCTTCGCTTTCTGCGCACCTTTTTTGGGGCATTTCAGAAGTAAAACAAGAATGCGCTCTAAATTCAAATTCTTCAATTCGTATTCACACTTGACAACTAAAAGGGGTTGGTTAAAAGAAAGTGCAAAAGGATGTATCTAGGCTGGTTACGTGTGTGGGGAAACCTCCTGCCCGGGCTCCTCTGTGTCCGGGATGGCCTGAGCCGAGGGGAAGAGGAACCTCACTGTGCGCTGCGTGTGTTTGGGTGAGGATGAGGGCGAGTGGGCGGCCCAGCGGGACGGGGGTCGACGGTTGGCAGGACGAGCCGGTCGAAGGAAACAGGAGTCCAGAGGTGGAGCCACTGAGGAACGGGGCAAGTCCTGCAGTCAAGGAAGAAAACATGTAGGATTTCAAACTCTGAGCTTCTGCAGGAAAGGCTGTTATTTGTAGTCAAGTTAGTTGCTGGTTGGTCTGCAACAGTATTGTTATTGTTAACTAAAACATAAAAAAAAAAAAAAATTGTTAATAGAAATAAGGCTGAAATAAAATATTGGATGAAAAACTTAAATACTGAAAAACTTAAATAGGTTTAAGTTGAATTACTAGAATTTAAATAGATTTAAATAGAAATAAATGAAAGCTATACAAAAAAACTAAAACTGATAAAAATGACAAAAGCACATAACTAAATTAAAATGAAAACTGATAATCTAAATATAAAAGCTAACTTGAAATATGAAATAATTCTATAAATAAAGCTAAATAAAATATAAAAAAGTAGAACTATTAAAAATCATTATCGTTATTTAAAAATAAAGCTGAAGTAAAATAAAATATTTAGGATATATTAGATGGAAATCTGTAACTTAGAAAACTTGTTCAAGTACTACAATTGCTAAAACTGAAATAAAAATATATTAAATAAAGCTGAAGTTAAATAAAATATTTAAAAAACTGTTACAAAAAATGTATTGAAAAAAGAAATGTCGCCTTGCCTTTACCAAAATAAAACAAGTTAAAGTAGTATACTAAAATTGAAATACAAATGAATTAAAAAACTAATACAAAAATGACAAAATCACATAACTAAATTGAAATGAAAACTGAAAATCTAAAAATAAATGCTAAAAATAAATATAGCTTTATAATACTATAAATAAAGCTCAATATAAATATAAAGAAGTTATTTAAAATAAAGATTACATGGAAAACTGTACCTTAAAAAACTTAAGTGAAAATATAAATGTTGCTTTGTCAATGAACTAAAATAAAATTAATTCAAAATATATATAAAATATAGTATGATAGCATCTAATAATAAAATAACACTGGTCTGAAAGTAATTGTGCTTTTATAGATTTAACTAAAATCGATAAACATCCATTCTGTGGCAGATAGAAAAGAAGAATATTCAGTTTGTTTTGGGCTGAATGTCTGCTTTTGAGGAAATACACATTTTGAGCTTGATTTATTCTAAACAATTCTCTCTCGAGCGATAAAGCAACAATTAAAAATGAATGAGATTTCAGCATGAGAGGTGGATATTTTAATCTGTGCTTTGAATAATTCAAAAACAGGGATTTACTACTGTACGTCTATATAAATCTGCTTTCGGTCTTTGAAGCTGATACAAAGTGAATTTGAATGGAGTTCTATGGAATTCTGTTTATACACTCCAGTGACATCATAACCAACATGAAACCAGACAACTAAAACTAAAAAGAAATCTAGTTACAATTATTTAATATGTTAATTGAAATCAAGCTGAAATGAAATAAAATATAAATATTAGATGAAAAAAAACCAACAACTTGGCAACTAACTAAATTACAAAAACTAAAATGGAAATAATTTAATAAAAATATTAAAAAATAAAAATGACAAAAGCACTACTAACTACTAAAACTATAAAGATTGAAGGCAATTTTAAATTCAACCAAGCATCAAGTTGTTGTTAGAAGTGAAGAAATGAGACCCAGCGTTAGCAGGTGTTAAACGGCACAATCAACACACACAGCAGCCAATGAACCCTACACACACCATAGCACTGCTAGCATGCTCACGTCCTGTTAACACCAGACAGGACAGTACAGTACAGTAAACCCAGAGAGCACAGATGTTATGGTGTGGTCTCCATCAGTAGGGCTGCTGAGGTTAAGAAATGGACAAAAATAATACAATTACAAACACAGAAACACGTAAACAGCCAAAGGACCTACGAAAAAGTTCAAGTTAAGTGATTAAATATTAATAGTCAAAATGGTAACGCCATCCAAAAAGCCACATTTGAGTTCGATATACAGTGTCACTTAAGTCACTTTAAAAAGTGTGCAAATACTTTTAGTCTTCACTTAAAATACTATTTTTTATTGTTTTATACAGTGACACTTAAGTCACTTAAAAAAAAAAAGTGTACAACATTTTTATTGTTTTATCTATTTAGGAAATGTTTCACTTCGTTTGCTTGTGTTAACGTTCTTTGAATTTTTTTTTTTTTTTTGAGCCACTGCATATCAGCCAAAGTTTCTTGTGTTTCGGCTTATGAAATTCCACCCCATGTTTTGGGACAATAATTTCGGTCCAATAAAAACTCTGATAGCTTTTTGGATGACTGGTTATTGGTGAGGTCAGTTAATATCAGACGATGGGCATGCTCACACCTACATGAGGACTAAAAAAGTGTGACCACAACAAAGCACATACAATATTTCCCATAATGCCTAGCGGTGATACTAGAAACTGCGTGGCATGCGGTGAGAGAAATCCCATTAAAATCAGTGAGACGGAAGACTAGTGAGGTCACTGTGAGGTCAAAGGTCGAGTAGGATCGGTGGCACTTACTGCACGGCGAGCACAAGCTGCGTTACAGTCCCCAGGGTGCAGTTAGTAAGACAGTGTGGTTCTGGAGGCAACCCGGAAAAACAGGAGTAAACACACTTGTCAAAATAACACAAGCACATCAGACTCAGGTTAGCACTACATCGCTCATCGGGCCGGTCCGGCGGGTACAACCTGGAAAAGCAGCCTCGCTGTCCTTTACATATTAACATTACAACACTATATAGTTGCATCTCTCTGAGATTAAAACCTGTCCAGGTCATATTTCTCCTCCAAATGTAATAATAATCAATTATAATCAGCATCAAATTGTATTTTGCCTTTCAATTTTGCCCAGTTACCATTACAGCAGTGCAATATAATATAATATAACATAATTTAATATAATATAATATAATATAATATAATATAATATAATATATTATAATATAATATAATATAATTTGATATAATATAATATAATATAATATTGTAATGCATACATAAACAAATAAAATAAATCATTAAAATAAATAATATAAATATAGTAATAAACTACTGTGGGTTCATTGTGCAAAAACAATTTGCCTTGTGCTATTACTTTCCCCTTATTCTAGCCTATTGCAATGCAATTATCTAACATTACTGTATTATATGCTGTTGAATACATTTGGTTCAGCTGTAATAAATTGCATTTAAAATATATCGATTCCTGTAATAATAATTCTTTATTCGTGTTCTGTGATATTTATTAATCAGGATTCGTTTTTAGTTGGAAGTCTATGAAAGTTCATGGTATTACCTGGTCTCCTCCACTGTTTATTGCCGCAGCTCTTTACAATACAGCGAAAACCCATGATTGTAAACTATGCTTTTACTATCTAGTAATTGTTGACTCTATTACTCCAACTCTAAACGAACTCTCTGCTCCTCATCACGGTGCGTCTCATGTGAGGCGGTAATCACTCCGCCCAAGTAGCAGTGCTTCGCCTTCTGAGAATATAGTTCCCAATATTGATACGGCTAAAAGATGGCTGTGTCTCATATGATCTTGTTATTTGTACACTCAGTGACTATACAAATCACAACATGTAAATAGGAAAATGTATGCGTTATTTTGTCACTTATTGGGATTAGTATGCTAGCTGGAGCCATTTACATCCAGTCTTTGTGCTAAGCTAGGCTAGCGGTGGGTGCGTCAGACAGAGTTACGGCACGCACGGAGATGAAAAAGGTATGTATGGACTTATCTAACTCTGGGGGATACGGTGAATAAGCTAAAGTCCCAAAAAGTCGGTGTGGTCTACATCACGGCTCTCAGCTCGCCCTCTGTTCGTTGATTGGCCGGCTGTTTTCAGGCCGGAGGAAAACTACGAAGTACGAAGTCTGGCGTAGTCAGGCTATATCAGATATGCCATTTGTTGTGAAATATTGGGGTTGTATAATTAGGGGTGAAATGTGATCTGGACACGTCTTTGTGATTCTCACCCTTATATACAGTAACTCTGTGAAATATAGTTTTACTTGTGTAAACTCCTAATCTGTGCATGACCATCGCCTCCATTTAAAATGAATAGAGATGATGGACAACACATTTCACAAGGCAAAATATTACTAAAGTTTTCTTCTGTTGTATTGCATGTATTAATGCCCAGTAATATCCATAATGTTTAAAACACAAATCCCAGATGCATACACTGCTCACACAAACAACCATCTTTGATGATGTTAAAATCTTTGTAAATGTGTCTTTGGCATTAATGGGGCATCATGGGTTTGTGCGCTGACGCTGCTCTCTGTGGACATGCTTTCATGTGAGGGATTAATCTTCGTAATGGAGAGAGTTTGGCAGGCATCAAAAACTGGATACAACTTTATTACAGTGAATTAGAACATCCTGTATCCAAAGAAGTTATGTAAGCTAGTTTAAAATAAACAAACAATAAGCAGCATGTGATATGCTACAGTTAGCATTGTAGAAAAGCAGCACGCTAAAGCATGCATTCAGACCTGCATTCAGGCAGCATTTGGAAGCAATGAGAATTTTTGATACTTTTATATAAACATAATTTTGTATCTTGAATCTGCATTGTCCAAAGACCAAAACCTTCAACAAGCAGTCAAATTTATACTGTAATATACAATCCCCACTAAAAAAAAAGAGACAAACTAAATGCCCATGTACCCGCAGGAAAGAACAATATCACAAATTAGATCATCTCATTTGTTTCTACTAGACCGCAAATGGAGACATTTGCTAAGGTCTCCTGCATCTAAGATGTGTTTCCTGAGAAAAAGACCCCAGTAATTTCACACGTCTCTCCTGTAGGGTTTCAGAAGAGATCTCAACAATGTCTCAAACTGTGCAAAGACACTACCATCTGAAACCAAAAGTCAGCAATCCTCAAACATTTTGATGAAAAAGACATGAATGTTGCTAAAGGCGAGACACCCCAGGTCAATAGGGTAAAAAACAAATACTAATAGATAACACCATACTTCACCAGTTGATTGATTACATTAATAATTGCAAAAAAAAAAAAATTGTATTACAAGTTTTCTGAAATGTTACGTTAAAATATGCAAATGAGGCATTATCTAATTAAATGTGCACTAATTTGCATACATTTCTAGAACAAAAATCTGAACATTGTATGAAGTCAGGTTCAAAATTCTTGTTTGATTTTTTTTATATATATATTTTTAGAATATCAGAAAGTACTGTCAACAGCCAAAAATACATACATTTCCATCATTTTTTAGGAATAAAATGTTGTATAAAATCTGGAAAATTATATATATGAACAAATATGAACAAACCTCTGTAAAAACCTTCAGAATATAGATAAGAATAAATCTGTAAAGTTTGGCGTATGTAAACGCTACTCAAGTGGAGATTTCTGGCTCAATGTAGGAGGAAAACGGCCTTTAAAGATATACACCGTAATTGAAATCTACAGACGCAAATAGATAAAGCGCTCTAAAAGATACAGTTAAAAGTGTATTTTGGATGTTTTCTTTCAACTAGTCTAAAAAAAAAAAAAAAAAACTTTATGAAAAGCCAAAAAGCCCAAAATCTCAAAATTGACAGATGCATGAAAAAACAGTTTTGCCTGTAGTATCTCGCCTTAAAAAATAAATATGGTACATTTTTGATTTCATGTTGACTTAATGTCTCCTGAGCTATACAAGAGCACCCTCCAAGCAATGAGAAAAACTCTCGGTTACCTCAAGACATCCAGGTTTCTCTGTGTCTCCGGTTCTGTTGGGAGCCGCCGCGGATGAAGCGGAAAGCCTCCTCTCCTCTCTGAAGCTCTGCTCCAGTAGTTTCTTATTCAGGATCCGTGCAGCGTTCTCCGCCAGCGTGTATCCCGGAGGAGCGGACAGGTCCTGTCTGATGCTAATCCCCTCTGGGGTTTTCTCGCCCTGCGTCTCTACAATGAGCTGAACAGGGCTTGGGGACCGGCCCCGAGAGTTTCTTAAAGGCCCCTGCGCAGCACAAACACTGGGAGATTTGGGATCTGTTGGCCCTGCTTCAGTGGGACGAGAGCGGCTAGGGGACTTATTGAACTTCTGCATGGTGTCGTAAGCGACGGGCGTGTGGTCGATGATGTTGAAGAGGCTGGAGAGCCCGTCGTTGATGGTGGTGTGAACGGGACTGTCTCTAGTCGTCGTGGACCGAGCCCAAGCGGATTCATTGTTGCCTTTTTGCTGCTGGGAAGTGGTTGTTGGAGTGGGAGCACGAGTCTGGCCGACCGGTTGCTCTGCTTTGCCAGCGTTTGAGGGTTTCCTTTGGAGCTTGGGTGAGCCGTATTTCGGAGAACAACACGGGCGTTCAAACTTAGCCTGTACGACTGGCGAGTACTGCATTTTCCTAAGGCTCCTAGAAGGGGATGAGATGGGAGTAGAGCCTCCTTTAGGCGTTAGACACCGGTGAGGGCTGCTTGTGATGGTGCGAAGAGCCTCCGTTTGCAGTCCCACGCTGATGGTCTGGGTGGTTTGTGTCCAACGCGTGGTAAAACCATTCGTCTGGCACGACATGTCCCGTAGCTGCCTTTCCGGAGGGCTGGATCCAGATGCAGATGATCGCATAGCAAATGCCTTTTCCTTCATGTCGTCACTCAGATTGCGAGACAGCTCCAGCTCTAATGATGAGGTAAATCCAACCGCAGGGCAAATCAATGGACTTTCTACAGGCCTAAGTCCTGCCTCCAAATGACTCCTAATCTCACATGGCCACGTTCCTCCAAACACCTCTTCTGCACCTCCTACAACCTCCCCTGCCTTTACTTGAGTCACTTTGGAGAACATGTACTCCTGTTCGGACGTGCTTGGAGCTGATCGCTCCCCTCGAGCGGGACTGTGGAGGATATGCACCCCAAACTGGTCTCCACCCTGGGTCACTCTGAGCGGGAGCATTTGGCAGTACTCAGGGCTACTTATGGTGTTGGTGGTCAAGGTGGCGCTGGTGGTCAGGAACCAGGAGGCTGGCTGGAATGCTTCTGAAGTCGACTCGGCCCTTCGGGATTCGGCCCAGGCCTCCATCCCCGGAGAGGGCATTACTGGGCCAGGAATGGGACAAGAGGCCAGGGAGCTGGTGGGCAGATCCCAACCCTTACTATTAAACTCCTCAATGTATTTGAGGTCATCCGGTGAAAGGGGAGGGGTCACATCGTCCCGCATATGTTCGCCATGCTTGCTCTTATCTGGTAGGAAGGGGGAGCTGTCCATTAAACGCTGGAAGTCGCTCATGGAGCAAACTGACTTCGCCCTACGGAGACAAAACCGGTTGAAAAGTTACAATGCTGTTATTAAACATTATACCTGACACTGTTTTTGGGTTATTTTTCACTCAGCTTAAAGCAAGTTTATGGGATTGATGCAATGCTCAAACAAAGTATATTATTAAACAACGCAATGTCGCTGCCAACCTTTTGGAATTGTCTTTGGGTCAGGAGGAGTAAATATCTATGTTTGCAGGGTTAACCCTATGTTCCTCTAACCCTAACTTTGTGACCCTGGATCACAAAACCAGTCACAAGTCGCACGGGTATATTTGTGCCAATAGCCAACAATACATTATATGGGTCAAAATTATCGATTTTTCTTTTATGCCAAAAATCATTTGGATATTAAGTAAAGATCATGTTCCATGAAGATATTATTTGTAAATTTCCAACCGTAAATATATACCACATTAATTTTTGTGAGTGAATGCAGCACAATCGCGAACATAAATGGACAACTTTAAAGGCGATTTTCTCAATGTTTCGATTTTTTTGCACCCTCAGATTCCAGATGTTCAAATAGTTGTATCTCGGGCAAATATCCTATAGTAACAAACCATACATCAATGGAAAGCTTATTTATTCAGCTTTCATGTGGTATATAAATCTCAATTTCAAAAAATGTACCCATGTGGTCCAGGTTTTGTGGTCACATTTGTTCATTATGTGGCATATAAATCTGGGAAACATGGGGACCCTGGATTCTGGGAGCATGGGACAGAACAAAGGAATGACTCCATAAGGATTAGGGGTTAAAAGTGTAGCAAAGCCTCATAAGGGGTAGATTATATATATTGTGATTGACCTATGTATTGGTAGTCATTATAATGTCTTCATGGGATGTTGTTTTTACGTGTATAAGTCTTTAACTCTGTAACGAACTCTTGCGAGATTCAGAGGGTGACCTCGCATAGCGCAACGACACGTCATGGTAGGGGGAGCCAGTGCCCCTGTGACAACAAGCTTGGACCCCCTAGTGGCCCCCCTGAATGTGGAGTGTGAAATAATTTTTACAAAACTGCAGGGCTCTCAAGTATCACACATTGAGTGTAACAGTCACTCATTTCGGTCTTTTGTCACTAACTCCCGCCACACATTGTATTTCTCACGTGGAAAAAACTATTTATAATATATTTAATATGCCGCAGCAGCCAAAATTTCTCTGGCCTCGTCTCCCCTGGAGTTCGTGGTCGAGCCTGCCACTTATCAGCCAATCAAAAAAAAAAGAAAGGGGCTACACAATAGCCAATCAGAAAATAGCACTATTGTATCTGGGTAAGATTTACCAACAACCAATGAAAAAAAAAGCATTTCCTGTAATTTTTCATGTGATTCTGCTACAACATCTTCCGAAAGTTTCGTTCACCCACAGAGGAAACCACTGGGGCTCCGAGCATCACTTTAAGCACAGAGTGAGCCATAATATCCTGTTTTAATGTTAATGTTAATACTAAATATGTAATGCAAATGTAAAAATATAATGGAAATGCAAATACATTGTTGAATGATTATAAACATGGTATTTTGCCTGTTAATGCCTGCAGTGCAGAAAATGATATGAAAACAAAAGGGTCTAAATTTAACTGGATTAATTGCTACGTTTCACCATCAACTCACTTGAATATGTCACACAAAATTATGCCAAAATACCAGTCTCAGGCAAGTATTATTGTAAACACAGCCGGGAACACATGTCTAAAGTGAACGTAAACAGTTAAAATGTGTATCATTATATTGGATCCGTGCATTCGGTCTTAAAGTGACAGCAACCTATTAATGCCTGCAGCTGTCTAAGTCATTAAAGTTAATTAAACAACAAAATACAGCTTTAACAAATATTAATCTATATTTACTTTATACAATGAACACTATATTGTTATTTTACATTTAGGCCTAATTATTACATGTCTCTACCTGCATACACTACAGTTAGACCTTACTTTATTTGTAATATGGTTGTATATCTATCCTTGTAATTAGTTTATTATCTTATTTTTTTCTGACTTGTCTTTAGTAATGTTTGAATGTTATCAGATAGGCTAGTTTTCGCTTTGTATCAAAGTTTTTAAAGTGTTATTACATAAGCAAAGTTACATTTGCCACACGTGCATCAAAAACCACAATGTGATCCGAGTCGTGGGTTTTGTGATCCGTTTAACCACTAATAAGGAGCATGTTGATGATATACTATCTCGGTAGACAGCATGCTGGGTTTAATGTGTCAGCCCCAAAGGAGGAGTATCATTATTAGAACAATACCAATGGACTGATGAAGTTATCTTTCTTTATTGCTGGGAAGTTTAATCTTCAGCCTCCTGAGATTAAACTGTTCCTTTCCATTTGTGATTCTCCTGAGAGGTTGCCGAAACACCAACAACATCACAGTCTAAACATAGTTGCTAACTGATACTCAAACAAGGGCAAAGCGAGATCGATTTATCAGGACAGTTTCAAAGTTGGACAGTCAGGAAAAGACACTGAAGCTTATTTGCCGTAAACGAAACAACATTGAGAGACCTTTGAAAAGGACAATGATAAATGGGCATTGGATCAATAACTGGACTCGTACATAAACACGCACGCACGCACACACACACACACACACACACACATTCGTATTTATATATTTCTGAGACTTTGTATTCACACAATGCATGAAATAACCAAATTAGCAGTGTTCCCTTTCGAGGGAACTCTCGATGCGTCACTTGACGCCTTGGGAACGCCCCCAGCGTGAATGCGTCTGAGCATCAATGTCAACTAGTCCAATGGAAAGAATGAGCGTCACGGGCGGGTGACGTCATGACCAGAAAGGGATAAAGGCTCACCCGGTGAAACGCGGCATCAGCTTCTGTGTCTCAGCAAGCGATCTGTGTTACTCTGTCTCTGTCTATTTATTGTTGTCTGTTCGATATTATTGGGAAGAGTTATGGCGAAACAACTTTACAAACTCTGTGCTTCTCCCTGCCCGCGTTATTTAACGGGTGGGGACACACACGAGCTTTGTGTAGTTTGTTTGGGAGTGGAGCATGCGGTATCAGCCTCCGAGGGGGCTGATTGCAACATTGTGAGAAGCTTTCGCTTCGCATGCTCCACTCCCGCCTGTCACTTTTCGAGGAAAGTGGCCAGGCTCGCGATCCTCGGGGTGCAGGACACGCGTCTGCCGAGGCAGCGCGGAGAATGCATTCCTGTGGATCGCGAATAGGATCTCGTTACGGGGTTGGAGACGGGTCCGCGGATCTTATCTCCTCCCTTTCCACGAGGGATCCAGTGCTCTCTCTCAGGTCTCGGAAGCCAGCGCTGCGGTCTCTTCCGCCCGGGGAGAGAAATCAATGCTTCAGTGCTCTACCTCCGAGGAGGTAGATGTGCTGGGCATTGAAAGTGTACACAATCATGGGGGAAGTGGATTTGCCATCTCTTCCCCAGCGTATGAGAATTATATATAGCCTATATATATATATATATATATGATAGTTTATATATTATATATAAAATAAAGTGTATATATATAAAGAATGTATATAAAAAATATATATATAATAATAAGCTGGTGGAGGTGTTTACTGAGGCTGTAGATGAATTAAATATTTAATGGCCAGCAGAAATAAGGGGGCACTCGTCCTTAAAATAAATTGAACGAGTTTCCTTCCCTCTATTTTTCCACCTCCATCACGGGGCCTTCCATTTTTCCCGATCTGCACAGCGAGCTGTCTAGATCATGGAAAAAGCCTTACTCATTTTTTAGCCCCACATTCATGTATATTCAGATATTTGGGGGTTAAGAGAGTATGGCTATGGGGCAATACCCCGGGTAGAACAGACACTTGCGAGCTATGTCTCCCGGTTCAGTATCGTCCCTGAAGGCGTCGGCTTCTCTCACTAAACCATTAAAGAAAACTATTTTTTAATCTAGTGGGAAAAGCATATATGGCAGTGGGTCTAGCACGAGCCTGCTTGCACACTATAGCAGTGCTGCAAGCATATCAGGCTGACCTGCTGTGGTATTTGGACAGAAGTGAGGGAGTTTGGCCCGATGGGGTTTGAGAACTCCGTCGGGCCTCAGATTTATCTCTCAGGGATGGCAGCCAAAGAAATGTGGTCACTGAGAGACACCTCTGGCTCAATTTGATGGGAATCATGGAGAAAGATACAAGATAATCTCTCCCTCGCTATGTCCAACCCACTGGGGCTGCTGGGCGTGAGCAGCTCCAGCCGGCTAGTTTCTCATACACAACACAGCAGCCAAAGCCTTCAAAGCAGAAGCCGGATCCGAGGACCGTTCTTCATGCTGAGAAGGCTGCGGCTCAAAAGAAAAGGTCTGGCGCCACGGCGTCAGACCGGTGAGGGCAGCCCCAACCGGGGTGGAATGGTGTACACCTCATTATACGGTGCCCTTTCCATCTCTGTGCCCTCAGGGGATCGTTCTGCCAACCCCGCCACCCTTGGTGCTTCGGGGCGCAGCGTTCTCCAGCGAGCTTCTGGCGCAGCGTCAACTCGACATTGCGTCGGACTCGCGCCCTCTGAGGGGGGTTCGAAAACAGTCAGTTCGGGTGGTTCCTGCCAGTATGTTTCAGGTCCCCGAACTGGCTGTCTTTATTACACCAGAGGCCAGCCTCGAGGGGCTGGTTCCCTTGGTAGGTTTTCTGGCAGCGCGGAAGCTACTGCCAAATATATCTCTATGGGTAATGGTAATCTCTCTGGTAATGGAGCAAGGGGTAAAGGCCCTGTTAGCAAAGAAAGCTATAGAGCAGGTGTACTCACCCGACATTGCGTCGGGTCTTTACAGTCGTTATCTCATTGTTCCAAAAAAGGATGGAGAGCAGCGTCACATACTAGATCTTCGTCTGTTGGAGTGTTTGGTGCTGGAACTCAAGTCCAAGATGCTGACACTCAAACAGATCGTGACTCAAATCAGATCCGAGGACTGGTTTGTCACGATAGATCTAAAAGACGTATACTTCCATATCTCCATCCTCCCTTAGCACAGGAGGTTCCTGAGGTTTTCTTTGGGGCAAAGAACACCAGTATCAGGCACTTCCTTTCGGTCTAGCTCTATCACCCCGCACGTTCACGAAGTGTATAGACGCAGCTCTGGCCCCGCCAGGCTGCAGTGTATACGCATTCTGAATTGCATAGATGACTGGCTGATTCTAGCGGAATCAGAACAGTTAGCGGTTCGGCACCGAGGTGTCGTTCTCGCTCATATGCAGATGTTGGGGTTGAGGCTCAATGCCAAGAAGAGTGTTCTTTCTCCAGTACAGAGAACCACTTTCCTTGGTGTGGTATGGGATTCAGTGACGATGCGGGCCACTTTATCGCCCGTTCGTGTAGCTGCTATCCTGACAGCCACCATAGAGCTAAAGCTAGGCCAGTCACGCACTGTAAAACAGTTCGAGAGACTGTTGGGTCTTGTGGCAGTAGCGTCCAACGGGATACTTTTTGGCCTGCTGTACATGAGACCTTTGCAGTGGTGGCGCAGGACCAGAGGGTTCTCCCCGAGGGGAAACCCACTTCGTATGATCAAGATCACGCGGCCGTGCCTTCGTGCCTTGGTTATATGGAGGAAACACTGGTTCTTAACCCAGGGTTCGGTGTTGGGAGCTCTTTGCCATCGAGTTGCTATCTCGACAGATGCTTCCCTCACCGGCTGGGGAGCGGTATTGGAAGGCCGCTCAGCTCAGGGCTTGGGAGGAGTCATCATCTCGCTTGGCACATGAATTGCCTAGAGATGATGGTCGTCTTCAATGCGTTGAGACATCTCCTCCCAGACCTGAGGGGCCATCATGTGTTGTTCTGAAACAGTGACTGTTAGGCCTCAGGGCAGCAGCGTTCAATGTGATACCCTTTGACCTGCTGTACGTGAGACCTTTACAGTGGTGGCTCAGGACCAGAGGGTTCTCCCTGAGGGGAAACCCACTCCGTACGATCAAGATCACGCGGCAGTATCCCCGCGCCTTGGTTATATGGAGGAAACTCTGGTTCTTGACCCACAGACAACACGTTGGTGGCCTATTATTTTGGTCCCTCAGGAAATTACGCTGTCTGAGGGCAGTGTATATTCCAGGGGGGGCAGAATATTGGAGCAGACACCCTGTCGAGGCAGGGGCTGAGGCCAGGGGACTCCACCCCGAGGTGCAGACGTGGCTGAGGCTACGTCTGTACGCATTTCCCCCTGTTGCTCTGCTCCCAGGAGTTCTGGAGTGATTCCGCCAGGATGGAATAAGCCTATTTAGTAGCACCACCCTGGCCGAGCTGAATTTGGTTTGCGGACCTAATTTTTCTCCTCGACGGACCTCCATTGGAGGTCCCGATCAGGAGAGACCTTCCGTCTCAGGCAGGGGATGCAATATTGCACCCCCGGCAGGGGATTTGGAAACTGTGGGTTTGGCCTCTGAGGGGGCCCAACTCATAGAGAGTGGTCTCTCAACCGAGGTTGTTGAGACCATTCTAAGCTCCAGAGCTCCCGCTACGAGGAAACTATATTCACTATTTCGAGAGTTTTTCACTTCTTGGTGTTACCAGCGTCAGTGGGATCCGGTTAACTGTTCAGTAAACACAGTATTCGAGTTTCTGCAAGAACGCTTTGTATCAGGTCTATGTCCTTCCACGCTTAAGGTATACGTGGCGGCCATTGCGGCTTTCCACGCCCTGGTGGGTAGTACATTTTTGGGTCGAGACCCCCTGATCACTCGTTTCCTTCGTGGCACTTTGAGGCTGAGGCCTGCAACTTGCACTAGGGTGCTGGCTTGGGACCTTGCAATAGTTCTAGAAGGCCTATCTGGGGCTCCCTTCGAGCCCTTAGATTTGGTCTCAGAGAAGTTCCATTCTTTTAAGACTATTTTCTGCTAGCTATTTCGTCCCTATTAGAGTCAGACCTTCAGGCCCTTTCGGTCCCCACCTGCCTTGAGTGCACCGGGGATGGCCAAGGCATTCTTACCCGAAACATGGATATGTTCCAAAGGTGCCTACCATTATTCCGAGGCCTATTGTGCTGCAGGTTTCTGTCCTCCTTTTACATCTGCGGACCAGGAAAGGCTGAACCTCTTGTGTCCAGTGCGAGCACTGGATACTTATGTTCATCGGACATCTTCAATGAGGAAGTCCGACCAGTTATTTATTTGCTTTGGATCACCTAAGAAGGGTCTTCCTGCTTCTAAACAGACGGTTAGTAAGTGGATAGTTGAGGCTATTTCACTTGCATACGAGTACTCTGACCAGCCGTGTCCTTTGGTGGTCAGAGCTCACTCTACGAGGGGTATGGCGGCCTCTAAAGCCTTATTATTTGGAGTTTCTCTTCAAGACGTATGTGATGCGGCAGGCTGGTCCTCACCGCTCACGTTCGTCAGGTTTTACAGTTTGGACCTGGATGCTGCCCCAGGTTCTCAGGTGCTTAGTGCTTAGTTCCAACAGACTAACACTCAGGTACTTGGAATTCTGGCGTTTTGGGTATTCTCGTTCCCAAGGCGTCAAGTGACGCATCGAGAGTTCCCTCGAAAGGGAACGTCTCAGGTTACGACTGTAACCGTAGTTCCCTGAGAAAGGGAACGAGACGATGCGTCACCCTGCCATACTTCCTGCTTCCCTGTGATCGGCTTGCTTCGACTTTTTGAAGCTAATGCCGCGTTTCACCGGGTGAGCCTTTATCCCTTCCTGGTCATGACGTCACCCGCCCGTGACACTCATTCTTTCCATTGGACTAGTTGACATTGATGCTCAGACGCATTCACGCTGGGGGCGTTCCCAAGGCGTCAAGTGACGCATCGTCTCGTTCCCTTTCTCAGGGAACTACGGTTACAGTCGTAACCTGAGACGTTTTCTAAGACCAGCATCACCTTTACTATTCATACTTTGGGAGTTGACCAAACCCATTACTCATCCCTAACCCCACACTAGACATCTAACTATTTGTACTATGGAGATGAATGACACCTCATATAATTTGTATTGTTGAGAAAAGGTGTGAGGATGTTACTATGTGATCAGACTTACAGAAGGGACTCAAGCCATATCTAGAGGCCAGAAGATCATGATAACCTTTCAGCATTGAAATATAAGATTATTTAGTTAATTTATGTCAAGCTTTCCTATTGACTTCTATATTCCCAAGAGAAGAGCAAAACTTTCCTCATTTAGCACACACACACACACACACACACACACACACACACACACACAGACAGACATAGACGGACACACAGACGTAGACGGACATGCACACACACACACACACACACACACACACACACACACACACACACACACACACACACACACACACACACACACACACACACACATGCAAACAAAGAGTGTACCTGAGTAGGCTGCCGCTGCTCGTCTCTTCCTCAGGGTAAATGGCAGAATCCCCACTCTCAGAAATCTCATTCAGTGCCTAAAACAACAACACAGTTAAAACATTAACAGAGCTTTTTATGAAATAATGGGGGGACTGTAAGAAATACTTCCAGGTTAGATCAGTATATTATCCATCTTTAATGCTATCAGCAAGGTTTTTAAAGGGGGTCTTATCAGGAAAATGTGCCCTTTGATCTTATTTGTAATTGATCTTTTGAATAAAACACTTTACTAAATAAACTCAAACTTTAAGAACTCAAATTTCTTTCTCATGTTGGTGTATATCCTATTGAAACAGGATGCTAGAGTGAACTAAAAGCCACAAAACTGTAACTCGAGATTTAGTGCAGCACATTTGAGTGCAGTGTGTGTTGTGATGCAGTCAGAATGTAATGATTCTTACTCATTTAACATGCAAATAGGTTAGCCAATCATAAAGGAGGCAGTCTACATCCAGTACAAAACTCTTTTACAGCAGCAAAAACAACCTGTTTAAATATAACGGTCAGAAAAAAACTAGTGCTGGGCAACGATTAATCACGATTAATCACATCCAAAATAAAAGTTTGTGTTTACATAATATATGTGTGTGTACTGTGTATAATTATTTTGTATATATATATATATATATATATATATATACTGTACATACACACACATGCATGTATATATTTAAGACATTTTTTTTATGTATAAAATATGTATATATAAATTATGTATAAGTATATATACAGTATTTACATGCAATTGTTTCTTAAATAAATACATTAATTTCTGTGTATTTATATATACAAAATAATTATACACTGCACACACATATATTATGTAAACACAAACTTTTATTATGGATGCGATTAATCGCATCCAAAATAAGTACTATATGTTCAATACAGGTGAAACTCGAAGAATTTGAGTATCGTGCAAAAGTTCATTTATTTCAGTAATTCAACTTAAAAGGTGAAACTAATATTATATAGACTCGTTACATGCAAAGTGAGATATTTCAAGCCTTTATTTGTTATAATTTTGATGATTATGGCTTATAGATATTAAAACCTTTTCACAATATTCTAATTTTGACTTTGGGGTTTTCATAAGCTGTAAGAAAATTATAACAAATAAAGGCTTGAAATATCTCACTTTGCATGTAATGAGTCTATATAATATATTAGTTTCACCTTTTAAGTTGAATTACTGAAATAACTTTTGTACGATATTCTAATTTTTTGAGTTTCACCTGTATACTATACAAAATATATACTAAAAAAGTGCTGGTGCTTTGGTGCAAAAAAACCTTGACTGACATTATAAGCAGACCTTAGAAAAATAAAAATAAAATAAAAATGCATGATATGAAATGTGCCTCATCGTGCAGTGTGAACTGATGTCTTCCTCCGTCTCTTACTTCGTTCAGATGGGAGAACCTCTTTTCGCTGTCCAGACGTGATGGAGGCGGCACCTCGGCCTCGCTCAGGGGGTCCAGCGAGAGGGCGTCCAGGAACAGGCTCTCCGGGGGCCGGTGTCCCTCACAGGGTCTGGATCTGCCGGCCGCCCCCTTCTCCTCCAGAGTGGCCTCTGAGTCCGAGTGTGAGCGCATGTGTGCAGCGGCGCAGGGTGAGCGTGGAGACCGAGGAGCCTTACACGGGCTCTCCTGAGGGGAGAAGACATGCGCTGCACCTCCTTCTGCTGACTGAACAATATCTCTCTGCATCTGGGATGGAGGAGAGGAGATATCGGCTCTGTGTCAAGACCTAGTGAGCTGCCTTGCTGCCTACTGTCTAGCAGGGGTTCACAAACCTTTTAGTCAGCTGATGTAAAATATTTACTTGAGGTACCCCATCAGATTTAAAGGATTAGTTCACCCCAAAATGAAAACTCTGTCAGTAATTACTCTCCCTCATGTTGTTCCAACCCCGGAAGACTTTAGTTCATCTTCGGGACACAAATTAAGATATTTTTGATTAAATCTGAGAGCTGGTCTGGATCACTCCTCCATAGGCTTCTTAAGGGATCGAAACTGGCCGGCCCAGAAAAGTTATTAAAGACATCGTTAAAATAGTCCGAGTGACTACAGTGGCTCAACCTTAAGTTTATCAAGCGACGAGAATACTTTTTGTGCGCAAAAAAACACACAAAAATAACGACTTTATTCAACTATTCATTTCCTTCTCTGTGGGCCTTGAGATTTCACGTAGTGTAACAGCGCAGCGCTTCTGTGTTGTACGTCACACACAGGCTCACTATTGGCCGACGCCGGTCATGTGTGTGTGTGTGACTTACAACACAGAAGCGCTGCGCTGTTACATTTCGTGAAATCTCGAGGAGTGATCCAGCTCTCAGATTTAATCAAAAATATCTTAATTTGTGTCCCGAAGATAAACGAAAGTCTTACGGGGTTGGAACAACATGAGGGAGAGTAATTACTGACAGAGTTTTCATTTTGGGGTGAACTAACCCTTTAAAGTTAATATTTAAACTATTTCACATCACTTTTGCATGTTCATGGCTCTCTGATGTTGGTTAATGGCCACATGACATGCAAGTAAACAGATAAATTAGTTCATATTTTATAGTGTTTGTTTATTTTGATTGTTTTTAGTTTAAAAGTTTATATATACAGGTGAAACTCGAAAAATTTTAATATCATGCAAAAGTTCATTTATTTCAGTAATTCAACTTAAAGGGTGAAACTAATATATTATTTAGACTCATTACATGCAAAGTGAGATATTTCAAGCCTTTATTTGTTATAATGTTGATGATTATGGCTTACAGCTTATGAAAACCTTTTCACAATATTGAATTTGGGGTTTTCATAAGCTGTAAGCCATAAAATTATAACAAATAAAGGCTTGAAATATCTCACTTTGCATGTAATGAGTCTATATAATATATTAGTTTCACCTTTTAAGTTGAATTTCTGAAATAAATGAACTTTTGCACGATATTCTAATTTTTCGAGTTTCACCTGTATATATATATATATAGAGAGAGAGATAGATTGTGTGAATGTGTAAATAAAGTGAGCCTAGCACACATTGCATTCCCAAAATGCATGTTAAACTCATGTTAAACACTGCATGGTTAATGAGAAGAACATTTACTGTGAACCAAAACACTTTGAGATGCTGAAAACATGCAGTGCCGCTCTTCACTCAGACTACAGTACTTCATTAAATCACAGCCTTTGATTTGAAAATCACACTCAGCTATATTACAATTTCAGTTTTATTTCGAATAATTGCGTAGCCACATTTATTTATTTTGATTTCACATTCAATTTAATTAATAGCCTTTCATCAACTAAAAAACATCTTGCGTTTTTCTTCACAAACCCCCAATTTGGGAAACCCTGCTCCAATGCACTGACTGAAATGAAACCTGAGCGATTCTCACGGGAGTCTTCCAATATAGTTTCACGTTATTATGTTGCTCAAATAAATCACATAGAAATATTAAATTGAACTATTTAGTGTTACTTTTCCAGCATTGAACGCATTCACATGTCTTATCTGCCATTTCACATACCGCTTTTAAGGTATTGAAATATATAAGTAAAACAAGTAGGAATTACACCCCAGACCTTTTCCATCTTGTGGTGCATATCCCGTAAACTGCGGTCCCATTCCTGCCTCTCTTTCTCGAAGCGCTCCAGTAGATCATTCCTCTCGCGCGTCCAGCGCTTTTCTCCATGCTGCAGTTTCCAGCGCAGCTCCAGTGCCGTGCTGTGACTGTCGGCCAGTAGACGGCGCTGTTCCTCCCGTTCCTGTTGAGCCGCGTCTGCAACACCTGCATCTTCATTTTCATCTTCATCTGGGCCTGCAGACTCACCTCTGACCTGCATGCACAACAGCAGAGACATGAAGAAGAGCATTAATGCTTGCATAGGCTGGGTTGTTTTAACCCAATTTTGGGTAAAATATGGAAAAACCCAAACATTGGGTTAAAAATGTAACCCAACGTCTGGGTTTGTCCATATTTGACCCAAAGTTCGGTTGAAACAACCCAGCCGTTTTTATAGCTTCGATGTACAGTGTGACAAATTAACCGTAATTACAGTCGTGTTTTGAAACATCTAGCCTACTTCTTGACTCATTATTTATTCAGATTGCCAGCAGTTGATGCAAAAAATTGACTAAAAATGCTAAGATTTATTTACAATATGATAATAGGATATAAAAATGCTGGGTTGTTTAAACCCAACTTTGGGTCAAATATAGACAAACCCAAATGTTGGGTTAAAAATGTAATTTTAAATTTTGACCCAACTTTCACTTTCAACTGTACATTTTTTAATTACATTTTTAACCCAACATTTGCGTTTGTCCATATTTGACCCAAATTTGGGTTGAAACAACCCAGCATTTTTTAGAGTGGCTGAATTAAACATGCAACATATTGACATCATATGACAACAATCTAACAAAAAGTATACAGTTTATAGTGCACACTGTATGGGGTAAGCAGTATGCGAGAGTTCAATTCTGAACAGCCTTAAAAAAACACAATTATGCACAGACTGGCCTATACACTCTAAACAATGCTGGGTTGTTTTAACCCAAATTTGGGTCAAATATGGACAAACCCAAATGTTGGGTTAAAAATGTAATTTTAAATTTTAACCCAACTTTCACTTTCAACTGTACATTTTTTTAATTACATTTTTAACCCAACATTTGCGTTTGTCCATATTTGACCCAAATTTGGGTTGAAACAACCCAGCATTGTTGCATTTGGGTTGAAACAACCCAGCATTTTTTAGAGTGTATATTTAGCTAAGAAGAGTCATGTTTAAGTTTGCCAGATTGCCTTTATGATTAGTGCGGTGAAGTCAGAACACACCTCCCTCACGTCACATCTATCCAGATGTTCCTCAATCTATCCGCTGTCTGAATGAGCAGGGCTTCTCTGACATCTGCTTCCTTTTAATAGGCCATGAGTGTGTTTGACGGCCGAAGTGCACTAAATATAGCTGGCTATTTCCAGACGCTCCCTAACCTCCACGACACCGCAACAGCCACTGTAAGCAAGTCACTGTGAGCGGAAAGCAACGCATGGCACTGCAGATGCTTAACGTCTAAGCAGAAGATTTATGTCTGGTTAAGGTATAAAGAAATTAAGTTGAATGACAAGACCAGAGTTTAGAAGTTTTTCGAATTTGACATTTCAGAAAGTCATCTTAGACTTTATAAAATTGATTAATGGCTGAAAAATGCTAAATAATCCAATGTTCAAAAGTTCGGCATTGGTAAGATTTAAAAAAAAAATGTTTTTGAAAGAATACTCTTACGCTCACCAATGCTGCATTTATTTGATGAAAATACAGTTAAACAGTAATATTGTGAAATAGAACAATTTAAAAAAACTGTTCTATTTGAATATATTTTATTGAAAATATAGTATATTAAAATGTATTCATGTAATTTATTGAAGATGCAAAGCTGAATTTTTTTGCATCATTACTCCAGTCTTCAGTGTCACATGATCCTTCAGAAATCATTGTAATATGCTGATTTGCTGCTCAAGAAACATTTCTTATAATTAGTATTATCAACAAATATACCATTTGATCAATTGATTGTATTACATTTTTATTTTAAATCATATTTTTGATCAATTCTGCATATATATATATACTGTATATATACACAATTTTAAATATGCAGAATATATATAGCCTATATATATATATATAATGAATTATTAATTATTATGAATTATGTATGTATATATATTTTCAATTGATCAAAAATTCTGATCTAATAAAAATGAACTATTTCCCATCACATTTGAGTGTATTCATTTGCTTAGCATACTAATATCCAACGGTTGAGTGTGTGAGTGACTGTTAATGGAGTTGATACACATAAGAGGAAGATGAAGCTTTCTGAGCCCTGATCATGCAGGTGTGCTGTACAGGTGATTCTGCTGTGATGTAAGTGTTGTTTCTGCACCTTGGTGACGTGACTCCTCATCTCAGCGCGCTGAATCTCCCACGCCGCTCTCTCATTGGCCAGTGTCTGCTGCATCTGCCAGCGCCGCTGCGCCTCCTCCCGAAGCTCCGCCCTGAACTCCTCCAGGAGAGAGCGAAGAGCGTGTAGCACACGGAGACTCTCACCTGCCTGGAGATAGACACAGATGAACACAGAGGACTGTAATGTTGCTGTTTGAGCATTAAAAAGCTCTGCAAAGTTACAGAGTCCCTCCAGCGGGAGTTCTTCTCTATATCAGTGTCAGTGTTTCTGAACTCCCTGAAACGCCTCCATTGTAGTCTCGAGTTTTCTTTCGGGAACGAACACGTCACAATATTCCTCATTTAAATAATTCACACGCAGAATAAAGGGGCGGAGCCTGGTTGAGTTAGTTAGTAGTGTGTTGAAACTTGCGGTTATGGTAAGGGGCGGGACATTTCCGATTGACCAATCACAACACACTGGTCCAGCCGGCCAATCAGAGCACAGTGTGCTTTTCAGAAGGAGGGGCTTCATAGAGACAGGAACTAGTGGGAAGTTCGGATAATTTTACTGACTTGGATCTTTGAATCTCGTTCATCAAAACGAACGAATCTTTTTTCGAGTCATTTCGTTCATTTCAGCAGAATGTTTCTTGTTAGTATTAGTCAGAATTAGCCAAATTCCCCAAACGCATCAAATGTTGATCGCATTTAGAATAAGAAAAATATATTACAATGCAAGGAAAAGGCCAAATTATGAGAAAGAGAAACGATTAATTATTTTATTTTGGTCTTCAGGCTATGCAGTGTGTTAGTTTACCTCACCTCCCGAAGCCGTTCGTTCATCCCATGACATCCTCATAAACTGAGCGATGCAGTCGGTACTACCGGATACAGAATTGATTAGTTTACGTTTCGAGTCTATCAACTTCGGGTTCGAGTCATTTGTTCATCACATGACAGTCCCATAGGCTGAGCTATGCAGTCGGCACTACCGGATACAGAATTGATTCGTTCATCTTTTGAGTCTTCGGGTTCGAGTCATTCGTTCATCACGTGACAAAAGAACGAAAGACTCAGAAGAATCAGACCCGAAGACTCGAGAGGTGAACTAATCATTTCTCTTTCCGGTACCGACAGCATAGCCTCTATGGGACTGACAGGAAGAACGAAAGACCCGAACCCGAAGACTCGAGAGGTGAACTAATCATTTCGGTTTCCTGTACAGAACCCATAGGATGGTCAACACAAAATGAGCGAATCACTCTCTGAGACAACTCGGTAGTCCCGAGTCATATTAAAGATTCGTTCAAAATGAAAAAATCATTCATGATCGACTCATCACTAAACAGAGCGTTACTGACAGACTGGGAAGAGAGGAGCTGCAACAATGTACAATATGTGAAAAATAATGTGTTTTATGAACATTCAAAAATGAAAACCTGTTGGAGCCCGAAAACTAAATCAAGACTTTGAAAAATCATAATATGGTCGCTTTAAATTGCTTTCTAGGGAAAAAGTGAGAGTTTGCAAAGGTCTCATTCGTGATTTTTCTTTTCAGCAAGTGAAGGGTAGTTACATGCATTTCCAATAAAGAATCCAGTAGTTGTGTGTCTGTATTATTAAGTAAATGTGGGAGAAAGTTAATCATGATACAATAATGGAGGTTCTCTCACCTCTCCTCAGCGGCTTTAATTAAAGGAACAGTTCTGTCATTATTTATTCACCCTCATTTTACATATTTAAAAATAGTTTGTCTTCTTATTTTGAGCTAAATTGTTCATGTTTCAGATGATGCTATACCTGTATATAATTTAAAAGTCACTATATTCTTTATTCTATGTTATGTTTTTGCTGGCAAGTGTTTGTTCACAGCCTATGGAAGCTTGTTTCCGCCACAGAATGAAAAATAAAAAAGGTAATTGCAACTTTTTATCTCACAATTCTGACTTTATTTCTCAGAATTGCGAGATATAAAGTCAGAATTGCGTGATATAAAATCGCAATTGCGTGTTATAAAGTCAGAATTGCGAGATATAAAGTCAGAATTTATTGATATAAAGTCGCAATTGCAGGTTATAATGTCAGAATTGCAAGATATAAACTATTCTGAGGGGAAAAAAGTTAGTCTTTTTTTCCCCTTAAAATTGGCCTCATAACTCGCAATTGCGAGTTTATATATCACAATTCTGAGAAAAGATGTCAGAATTTCGAGACATAAACTCGCAATTACGTGTTATAAAGTCAGAATTGCGAGATGTAAACTCGCAATTGTGAGAAAAAAAGTCAGAATTGTGAGATAAAAAGTCGCAATTCTGTCTTTTTTTCGCAATTGCGACTTTATTGCGACTTTATTTCTCAGAATTGCGACTTTATATCTCGCAATTGTGAGATAAAAAGTCGCAATTATTATTATTATTTTTTATTCAGTGGCGGAAACAAGCTTCCATAATCTGTGTGGCTATCAAGTGGTTGTATTCACCTAAATACTTATCTTTTTTTGTCGTTTTTGTTGTAGTGTGTTGATTGTGGTATTGATTATGTCTTATTATTTTATTGTAATGTGTTTGATTTGTCCCTTGTTCTGTATTGTATTGTAAATTAGGACCCCCTCGAAAACGAGATGGTTCACCTCAAGGGGTTTATCCTATTCAATAAACTTATATATAGACATCTTCCTTAACCTCTTAACCTGCATGGGCCGGCGGGCCCATTTGCCATTGCATGTTTAAAACAATAATATCTTAGTAAAAAACTAAAGTAATATTGCCAAACTATATATCATTTGAAAGCTTAAAATCTCTAGTTTTCATATTTGGTGGCTGTTATCTAAAATATATTACAGAGGAGCAGAAATTTATCAATTTGCAACAAGAATATTTCATATTCATTAGGAGTATTTAGGCCTTTATTTTGAAATAACAATAAACATGAAAAATCATGAAAGATTGGTAGAAACCTCAGTTTGTTTTCATGCCATGAGTTCAAAAGATAACACCAATTCCATTTTATGAGAAAAAAAGGTCTGAAAATGTTTTAAATATAAAGAAAAATGTATGGATTCTCGATTTGTAATGCGGCTGCGAGCTATAACACTATAACGTAGTCTTTATGCATTTATTAGAGGTTTAATTCAAATCAAATACTGCCAAACCACCCATACTACTTCTGAATAGGATGTCTACTTCATAAATTGTATGAAAATTATGGAAATACATGGTTCAGATCACTCAAAACATATGAAAATGGAGGCGCCCTTATATGGGCAGTAATGGAGTCTGGTGTTCACCTAGTGAAAAAGTTGGGTACTGCGCCCGAATAAAATCTTACTGAAAGCTCATTTTTTGAGATATCAACCTAAAATTTGGAATACAACTTGTTCAGATATTTGACTTTAATTTTCTTGCAGTTTTAGAGTAAAATATATTTTGTAATATATATATTTTATATAAAATATTAATCATTATATTTTTACATTACACAATTTCATAAACTCAAACTTATATAACTTTTTTTCTGTTTCATTTTTTACAATTTCTAGACTTCTACAATAATCTGGAAAATGTCTTCTTTAAAACAAGACCAGCCATAGGTCTATATTCCAAAGCATTCCTGAATTACAACCATTTAAGTTTGGATAGTGATTTTTTATGTCTATGCAAAAAAAGGGGGGTGCCAGTTGAGAGTTAGTCAAGTCAAGTCAACTTTATTTTTAAAGCGCTTTTCACAATACAAATGGTTTCAACAGAGATAACAGGAAAATAATGCAACAATGTTTGTTTCTGCTGTACAGCAGATCTAGAAGATATTAGTGTCATAGTCCAGCTTTAATAAGTTCAGTGATGGTTCATTTTTGTTGTAAAAAAAAGTTAATAATTTAGTTCATTTATATACTGAGCCGCTTTGGAGAAAACAGTGATGTCATCGTCCAGCTCAGTTCAGTTCTCATATAATGGTGTCAATGCATGCAGATCAATAATATTGTTTAATATTAAGTATAAAGTGTGCAGTTTCTGTGGCACAAAACAGAAATGCAAAACAATTTTCAAAAAAACAATTTTCAGATTCACCATTGATTGAAATAATGTTATAATTCAGCTCCATCCAAACACACTGCATTTGAATTTAGTCAAGCGCAGAAATAACACACTTTATTGGTAATGTCATATGAGTGACAGAGCAATAAACCGGTCTCGTACTAAGGAACATGTCTGTGCTCATTAGTTTGTATGTAAGCTTGGTCAGCACAGCACCAATGGAGCCAATTGCATTTCCGTCATAAGTGTGTGTTCAGCAGAAATGGAAATTCGGTTAAAACCATGTGCACACTGAGAAATACATAAGCAAAATGATCTATAGGGAAAAAGCCACATAAACGTCTAAACAAGACGATGTGACGGCTTTTAATGATTTGTAAAACTAAAGTGTTTTACAAACTCCTGCACTTAGAGAGGTTTAATAATAGACTAGAGCTGAGAGAAGGTTTACTGCTTAAAACCGCTGCTACTGAAACATTAACACTGCTTTAATATTTACTCCAGAAAACAAAGACGAGAGATTTTAAGGTCACTACACACATTTCTTATTTTTTTATATAGGTTGTTCAATAAATAAAGGGAAGAATATGATTAGCAACAACCACCATGTCAAAACAATGCAGATTATAGCTTTTCTCATGTTAAAGGGGTGGTATAATGCCCTTTTCACAAGATGTAAAATAAATCTCTGATGTCCCCAGAGTGTGTATGTGAAGTTTTAGCTCAAAATACCCCACAGATATTTTTATATAGCATGTTAAAGTTGTCACTTATTGAGGGTGAGCAAAAACGCATCGTTTTGTGTCTGGCCCTTTAAATGCAAATGAGCTGCAGCTCCCGACACAGTGGGCGGAGCTTCAAGAGTGTGTGTGCTAGCAGCTCCGATTACCTCACGCAGACACACGCTAAAATGTCAGAAACTGTTCTGCCTTTCGGTTTAAACTGGAGTCAGACAAAGATGGAGAGACTAAGAAGAAGTGACAACATCATGTAGAAGCAACAGGACATCTCTGAATGGTTAGTTGATTAATTTATGTAGCTGATGTGGAGTTAACTATCTTCAATTAGCATATTCTGTCAGGATAATCTATAAATCGCTTGTATAGGAACTGTTGTGAGATGCACACAGAGTGACTTTCTATTGCATGTGAAAAGACGAATGCTACAGTTTGAGCTGACTCACAAATGTGCTCGACTACAACAGCTCTTCCTCTTCTCAACATGGACTGTGTGTTCCGGGGGCGGGGTTTATGTAAATCTTAGGGTTGGTGATGTCACTAACCCAGGGGGGAAGCTCGTGTAGTTCCTACCAGCTGTTTGTTGTAGTCCTTAAAAAACGATTTCTTTAAAAGCAAATATCTCCCTTTGCTTTGAACTTTGAGCGTTGTAATTTGCAGATGTTGTTTATGCTCAAACAGCAACATTACACACTAACTAAAGTTAGAAAAGTGAAATCATAATCAACCACCCCTTTAATACCTTTTTAAAGGGATAGTTCACCCAAAAAACTTCTTTCTTCTGCTGAACACAAAAGATATCTGACAAATGTCAAACGCTTTGACTTCCATCGTATTTTTGGAAGTCAATGGCATCCATCAACTGTTTGGTTCCCCATATTCTTCAAAATATCATCTTTTGTGTTCAGCAGAAGAAAGAAACTCTTTGGAACAACTTGAGGTTGAGTAACTGATTTTTTTGAGTGAACTATCCCTTTAAGATGAATCCCTTGTATTATTTCCCCCCATATTTGACAGGTTTGTATCTGACCTGTTTCTGGTGCTGGAATCTCTCTGGAGACAGCAGGAGAGGGCCGGGCTCTGTGAGGTCACTTCCTGTGATTTGGCCACACACTTTGTCTTCCCTTCCCATCTCTCCATCACCCTGGTCGATCGTAATGGCCAGTTCTGGAATGTTCTCCAAACGTTCGTACTGAAGAAACAAGTAAGAGAGAAACCACAGAAAATGTTTACAGTTAAAGTTTAATCAAAACTAATTACAAATATAATAAAAACGAAATAAAATCATTTTTTTTTTAATAAAAAAGACCTAAAACTTTTATTTTATATTATTTTATATTTTTATTTTACATTTTATAATATTTTTATTTTACTTTTTTATTTTATTTTATTTCGTTTTTTAATTTAATTATATTTTTAATTTATGTATTATTATTATTTTTATTTTTATATATTTTTAATTTATTTTATGGTATGGTATGGTAGTGAATGGTAAATCCTGACCTGACCGATGACCAGGGCATTTCTTGATTCGCTGAGTCTATAAAAAACAACTATTAAAAAGTCTATAAAATATCAACATAATATTCAATGTATAAAGATGATTTTTTTTAATGTTTAAATTTAGTCATTTACCACATGCTTTATTCAAAGTGACTATTTTTTCTTTTGTGATTAGTACTGGATTATGCATGAATCATTATGCACAGTATTAATGTACTATTAATACTCATGTACATTTTTTTTTGCATTTGTCAGATGCTTATATCTAAAGTGACTTAGATTGCATTCAAGGTATACATATTACTAGTTAATGCATTGCTCAAAATTTTAAACGGTAGTGTAAATATATAATAAAAAAACAATACGTTTTTAAACACACAATTAAACAATTGTTCGATAAATTCTTTTTAATGCAGAATTAATTAAAAAAAAACTATTTCACACAATATTTGTGTATTTAATTGCTTAGAAACATTCTAATATCAGATTCATGAGTGTGTGAGTGGATGTTAATGGAGTCGATGTGATTCAGTGTATTACAAATCATTCACTTCTGAGGTTTCATGTCAGTAAGGATGCTGCCTAAGGTGCCATCTCTACTGTTTGAGCTACAGGAACCATGATATATTGACATGCTGTAAAAAAAGAAATCCAGTCTAATATTTCAGCACTGGAAATGTTTCTGAGCTTCTTCGTTATCATTTGTTTACAGCAGCTGTTGTGGATATGACAGATGTGAAATGAAAAATCATACAACATGTGCTCACACTAATTCACACTGTTCCAATACTGAACTATTATGGTTTGTCAGACGACCTAATGCCACAAACGAGACAAAAAAAAAAGAAGCAACAACATGTCTACAGGTACTCATCAAACATGCAATCTTCACATCATGCATCTTTTGCATATCAGACAGTTAAAGGGGTGGTGTAATGCCCTTTCCACAAGATGTAAAATAAGTTTTTGATGTCCCCAGAGTGTGTATGTGAAGTTTTAGCTCAAAATACCCCACAGATATTTTATATAGCATGTTAAAGTTGTCACTTTTTAAAGGGTGAGCAAAAAAGCACAGTTTTAGTGTCTGTCCCTTTAAATGCAAATAAGCTGCAGCTCCCGGTACAGGGGGCGGAGCTTCAAAAGCTCGTGTCCTTTTACCTCACACACACATGCACTGAAAACTTTTAGCCTTTTATGTTCAAACCGGAGTCAGAAAAAACAACATTTCTGAATGGTTAGTTGATGAATTTATGTAGCGTATGTAGCTATCTTTTAGTCATTTATTAGCACATTCTGTCATGATAATCTATAAATCGTGTTCCGGGGGCGGGGTTTATGTAAATTCTAGGGTTAGTGATGTCACTAACCCGGGAGGAAGCTCGTGTAGTCCCTACCAGCCGTTTGTTGTAGTCCTTAAAAAGCAATTTCTTTAAAAGCAAATATCTCCCTTTGCTTTGAACTTTGAGCGTCGTAACTTTGCAGATGTTGTTTATGCTCAAACAGCAACATCACACACTAACTAAAGTTAGAAAAGTGAAATCATAATCAACCACCCCTTTAATTATATCTGAGCTCATTTAATTCAGGGTTAACTAGGGTAGTTATTCTGGATCACCTCAGCATGTGCACCTTCATCCACCCCGTCTGTCCTGCGCCCGAGCCTCCAGTGCATGAGGATCCAGCGCAGCTTCATGTACACGATCACTATATTGTGGCGGAACAATCTCACTTCCTGTTGCAGCTGCACTCTTTCCTGCGGCCATGTTGGCTCATGGGATTGAAGTCCCTGCAGCTCGAGTCCTCGCCGTGCCTCTGCGCGCCTCCTCTCCTCCTCCTGCGCAAGGAAAAACATTCAGAATAGACAAGAGTGATGGTAAATAATATGATTATCAACTTGACATAAGATGCATGCTCGCATAGAGAGAAATGAGATAGCGAATGATCATGTGGGTGTTTTAAAGGGATAGTTCACTTTGAAATTAATTTTTGGTATGTTTTAGCTTACCTCAAGGGCATCCAAGATGTAGGTGTCTTTGTTTCCGCAGTAGTTTCAATTTTGATATTTTTAGGTCAAACCGTTCTTGTCTGTCAGTCATATAATGCAGGTCTATGGTCACCACCTCAAAGAGCATGCACAGAGAAGTCCAAATTAAACATGATTTAATGACTCGTAAATGTAAGTACACATTGATGGCCTAAGACACGAAACGAGCGGTTTGTGTGAGAAAACGAACAGTATTTATATCGTTTTTACCTCTTGTAAACACAGCCACGTCCAAGTGATCTGAGGGCGCCGGCGCTTCGGTCTGTGCAAGCGCCAGAAGAGATCTCTCGTGCATGTACGTCACTCATTGTTTACACAGAGATTTCGGAAGTGTTACCTTTCACTAGCCATGTTTCCATTCACTTGTCAATCGAATTATCTGAAGTTCGGTAAAAAAAACTCATGCGAATAAAGCTGGTGAAAGTGTGTTTCCATCAAACGGCTTTAAAGCGGATAAAAACTTGTGTGTAATGACGTCACATGCTGTTTTGCGATCAAATTGGTATATCGAATTGATTTGAGACATGTTAAGGTGTTTCCATTCATTTTCTCATCGAATTGCACAACATTCAAGCCAACATTTGCAAACAAAGTTTTACTAGGCAAAATGGATCGCACCATAATAACGTTTCCATCCGCGTTTATCGCATAAGCCGTATATCGATCAAGATAAAATTCGATGAGACCGATCGTATTTCATTTGAGTCGATATTCATGAAATTCAATCGAATTTTACTGTTTCCATAAGGCATTTTTCATTCTATATCACTTAATGCGGATAAAAACCTGTGGATGGAAACATAGCTTCTGTGAAGATCTAAACATATTTAGATATACAGGAAATCGACGATTTCAATATATCAACAGACAACGTTGAATTTTTTTCGCAACCGCGCGAGAGATCTCTTCTGGCGCTTGCACAGACCGAAGCGCCGGCGCCCTCAGATCTCTTGGACGTGGCTGTGGTTACAAGAGGTAAAAACTATATAAATACTGTTCGTTTTCTCACACAAACCGCTCGTTTCGTGTCTTAGGCCATCAATGTGTACTTACATTTACGAGTCATTAAATCATGTTTAATTTGGACTTCTCTGTGCATGCTCTCTGAGGTGGTGACCATAGACCTGCATTATATGACTGACAGACAAGAACGGTTTGACCTAAAAATATCAAAATTGAAACTACTGCGGAAACAAAGACACCTACATCTTGGATGCCCTTGAGGTAAGCTAAAACATACCAAAAATGTATTTCAAAGTGAACTATCCCTTTAAGGCAAGAAGAAAAATGAATCTTCCTAGAAAAACCAGCTGAATCTACTTTTTATTTAGCAGTTTGGAAGTATAGCTGGTCTGAGCTGGTTTATGTGGGAAACTAGCCAGACGAGCAGCAATAAAGCAGCCAATTACAAGTTTAACCACCTAAACCCTATAAAGCATATTTGATACACACGTTTCTAAGGCCTCTAAATGATCATCATGATCAAATCACTGTGAAAAACCTGTTGCACACAATCAACTACATGCCATCTGTCGTCTGATTGATAGTTTAGACTTTTAAAGCAAGTAAAAGCCTTTTAGTAGGATTGTAAAAGCGTCCACCTTCAGCTCGTGTCGTTCTGCTGTGAAATCTGCACTGATTTTACTGATTAGGAATAACTTTTATATTGTTAGTAATATTTCAAGATGAACACTTACTGAATTACTTGATTATCCATACTTAATTTTTTTGAAAAATCATGTTCAAATCATGTGAGTCTCAAATATGATCATCAGGCTTTTGAGGAAGGTTTATTTGTTCATCTCTCAATCATCATTATTGCATTGCATTATATGTTTTAATGAGCTTTGATCATAAAACTAAGCATTTAAATATAAGCTTACTTAGACGTATTGGCAGATATAGAGTGACGACTGATAATTATATGCATTTTATGTCAGTAGTCTGATATACTGTTATTAAGATCTCATTCATTTACCAGGCACTTACCAAGCACCAGCACCATTTTTCCTCAGTTTGGGCCTTGGATTGATTATGAGCTCCATATTTGCACTATATCATCCAATATGAGCCAAAAAAGCCTCATGCATAAAAAGAAACAATATGCAAACTTATTTTTAGATTTAAAAAACAACATTTTGTCTAAATTTTCAATAACCTTGCATTTAATTTAAATAAAAAAAACGTATCACTTATTCCATATGTCAGACTTTACAGGGTTAAGCTGGTATGACCTGGTGGTTAGTATATTGTCTATCTCTCCATAATAAACTACTGTTTTCAGATCTGATTTATATGCGAGGAGCCTTTGAATCGATCACTTGCAGCTCTGATCCTCTTTCTCAAAGTGAACCGCACGTACCTGAGGGATGGATGAAGAGAAGCCGTCTCTCTCCTCCGGTCCAGCTCTCATCCTCCGGTCATGGTCCAGGCGTAGTTGAATCTCTCTGGTAGAAAGTCCCGTCTCAGGCAGAGCCGGCTCACGAAACTGGAGCCCAGCAGAACACACAACACCAGTCTCAAAATCCCAGCACTTTCAAGAGAGACGACATCAATTTCATGCAAACAAACATCAGTGACATGCATCAAGGCAGAGGTATTTCGGTGTCTTCTCTTTCTAGATTATATCAAATTGTTACTGTTTCGTGGCTATAGTTAGGGAGGGAAATATGAAATTAGCTGTTATGTTTGTAGTATTGATAAATAAAAATATATTAGGACACTGTATTGCAACTGTTTCCTTATAAACTCTCCAGATCTCTGGTGTCAAATGCATAGAATTAATGTAGAGGCTCATAATTAATTTCTACAGTAAAGAAATACTAAATACAGCTGAAACTCAAGAACAAAAGTTCATTTATTTCAGCAATTCAACTTAAAAGGTGAAACTAATATATTATATAAACTCATTACATGCAAAGTGAGATATTTCAAGCCTTTATTTGTTATAATTTTGATGATTATGGCTTACAGATATGAAAACCTTTTCACAATATTCTAATTTTGAATTTAGGGTTTCATAAGCTGTAAGCCATAATCATCAAAATTATAACAAATAAAGGATTGAAATATCTCCCTTCGCATGTAATGAGTCTATATAATATATTAGTTTCACCTCTTAAGTTGAATTGCTGAAATAAATGAACTTTTGCACGATATTCAAATTTTTCGAACTTCAAAGGTTTCACCTGTATGTGCTTTGTGTGTTGCTGTTTGTAAGTTTCTAACAAATGTCTAAAAGGGGTCATGACATGAGAAATCAAATTTGCCTTGACCGTTTGACATGTAAGAGGTATTTTTTACTATTAAAACATCCTGCAAATTTAACAGCTTAAAAACATCCTTCTCATTATGAACAATGCATTTATTTTTTTAAGCGCCAAAAACGGCTTGTTTTGATTTTGAGAATCTGTGACGTCACATGGGTGAACACATTTGCATATGCCCGCCTCCAGAGCAAGACATGGACGCATAGTTCAACCCCGTTCACATTACAAGCGACAAAGCGACACGATACCATTCATTTCAATGGGGAGCGTGTCGATTTCCGGCGACAAGCTGGCGACTGGTAGGGGCGTATCTGGCGACGCGACACAGTTGAGATCTGTTTAACTTTATGCAAATGAAGAGCGACTTTCGGGAGCGACAACCAATAGGAGTGAAGTCAGTGGAGCGCGTACACGCTCCACTGACTTCGCTCCGTCACTCTTCAGTGCTGAGTCTGACCGAGGCAAGTTGAACGAGAAGCTCATTTTAGCAGTCAGAAACTGTCCTATAATTTATCTCTGTGTACATACAGTGGTATTCACCGACTCCGTGTCTGATTGGTTTCGGGAACCCGTTTGCTGCAGTTAAATAGCCGCGATGGCAAAGAGCACTCACTGTTTCTCATCTTTAATATTAGACATTTTATGTACTGATTCCATTTATATTTAGACTTTTCCTTCCAAAATGTTTGTTTGTAGCGGCATAAAACGTATTTGTTGTCTACAACATAGAGTAACATCCGTGAATGTCACTCACAAACATTACTAGGCAACCAGTAGTGGGAACGCCCTCCAGCGAACTAACCGCCAGTCACTGGCGACCCGTAGCGGCAAAGTCGCGTGCCTTGTAGTGTGAACGCAGCTTTATACATCATCGCACTATAAGCCCCGCCCACTGGCACTTGCCTACACCCTGAACGTCGCGTCAAAAGCAAATAGAGCCCATTATAATGACGACGCTGGATACAGTATACAGATGTGCGTTCACTTTACTCCACACACTTGAGTCTGCCGACTACGGAAGCGTATTGCATTCACTTGAGGAAAAAAAATCTACTCTGTTTTTCTGAATTAACGAGTTAATTATCTCAGAATTACGAGAGAATTTTTCATGGAAAAAAGTTTTTGCTCTGTTTTTCTGAATTAATGACTTAACTATCTCAAAATTATGAGTAACTCGTTAATTCAGAAAAATAGAGCAAAAACTTTTTTTCCATGAAAAAATATCTCGTAAGTCTGAGATAATTAACTCGTTAATTCAGAAAAACAGAGCAAAAAAAAAATTTCATGAAAAAATATCTCGTAATTCTGAGATAATTAACTCGTTAATTCAGAAAAACAGAGCAAAAATTTTTTTCCATGAAAAAATATCTCGTAATTGTGAGATAATTAACTCGTTAATTCAGAAAAACAGAGCAAAAATTTTTTTCCATGAAAAAATATCTCGTAATTCTGAGATAATTAACTCGTTAATTCAGAAAAACAGAGCAAAAACTTTTTTCCATGAAAAAATATCTCGTAATTCTGAGATAATTAACTCGTTAATTCAGAAAAACAGAGCAAAAACTTTTTTTCATGAAAAAATATCTCGTAATTCTGAGATAATTAACTCGTTAATTCAGAAAAACAGAGCAAAAACTTTTTTCCATGAAAAAATATCTCGTAATTGTGAGATAATTAACTCGTTAATTCAGAAAAACAGAGCAAAAAAAAAATTTCATGAAAAAATATCTCGTAATTCTGAGATAATTAACTCGTTAATTCAGAAAAACAGAGCAACAACTTTTTTCCATGAAAAAATATCTCGTAATTCTGAGATAATTAACTCGTTAATTCAGAAAAACAGAGCAAAATTTTTTTTTTCATGAAAAAATATCTCGTAATTCTGAGATAATTAACTTGTTAATTCAGAAAAACAGAGCAAAAACTTTTTTTTCATGAAAAAAATCTTGTAATTCTGAGCTAATTAACTCGTTAATTCAGAAAAACAGAGCAAAAACTTTTTCCCATGAAAAAATATCTCGTAATTGTGAGATAATTAACTCGTTAATTCAGAAAAACAGAGTAGATTTTTTTTCCTCAAGTGAATGCAATACGCTTCCGTAGCCGACAACAGGATAAATGAAGAAGTGAAGGAATGTCAAGTTTAAACAGCTCATTTGCGTCTCTATCCAGACATCAGAAGGATCCACAAGTGGAGGGTTTATTTTAAAGGCGTTTTGGATAGCGTCGGAGGATTTTATGTTTGTTCGGAGAATTTTGTTTTCTATAACGAGCAACAGTGTAATTGAGAGTTCGCAAAGAAACTTTTGATGAAGCAGCAACTGTATTAAATCTAAATCTGAATCACAAACCGTGAGTAAATGATTTCATAATGCTTTGTCTGTAAATGACGGTTTTATTTGGATAATGTTTTCAAAACACTTACTCACGTGCAATAGCGAGTCGGTGTTGTTACTGCTTCTTATGCAATGATGTTTAATCATAACACTGGACGTTTATTGACAAGTCTTAAAGGATATGCTGCATAAAAATGGATCATTTTAGACAGAGGCTCAGAAAGAAGGTTGAAAATAATAGTTTTTCCACATGTATATATATATATATACACTCACCGGCCACTTTATTAGGTACCCCATGCTAGTAACGGGTTGGACCCCCTTTTGCCTTCAGAACTGCCTCAATTCTTCGTGGCATAGATTCAACAAGGTGCTGGAAGCATTCCTCAGGGAGTTTGGTCCATATTGACATGATGGCATCACACAGTTGCCGCAGATTTGTCGGCTGCACATCCATGATGCGAATCTCCCGTTCCACCACATCCCAAAGATGCTCTATTGGGTTGAGATCTGGTGACTGTGGAGGCCATTTTAGTACAGTGAACTCATTGTCATGTTCAAGAAACCAATTTGAAATGATTAGAGCTTTGTGACATGGTGGAAGTAGCCATCAGAGGATGGGTACATGGTGGCCATAAAGGGATGGACATGGTCAGAAACAATGCTCAGGTAGGCCGTGGCATTTAAACGATGCCCAATTGGCACTAAGGGGCCTAAAGTGTGCCAGGAAAACATCCCCCACACCATTACACCACCACCACCAGCCTGCACAGTGGTAACAAGGCATGATGGTTCCATGTTCTCATTCTGTTTACGCCAAATTCTGACTCTAACATCTGAATGTCTCAACAGAAATCGAGACTCATCAGACCAGGCAACATTTTTCCAGTCTTCAACTGTTCAATTTTGGTGAGCTCTTGCAAATTGTAGCCTCTTTTTCCTATTTGTAGTGGAGATGAGTGGTACCCGGTGGAGTCTTCTGCTGTTGTAGCCCATCCGCCTCAAGGTTGTGCGTGTTGTGGCTTCACAAATGCTTTGCTGCATACCTCGGTTGTAACGAGTGGTTATTTCAGTCACTGTTGCCCTTCTATCAGCTCGAACCAGTCTGGCCATTCTCCTCTGACCTCTGGCATCAACAAGGCATTTCCGCCCACAGAACTGCCGCTCACTGGATGTTTTTTTCTTTTTCGGACCATTCTCTGTAAACCCTAGAGATGGTTGTGCGTGAAAATCCCAGTAGATTAGCAGTTTCTGAAATACTCAGACCAGCCCTTCTGGCACCAACAATCATGCCACGTTCAAAGTCACTCAAATCAACTTTCTTCCCCATACTGATGCTCGGTTTGAACTGCAGGAGATTGTCTTGACCATGTCTACATGCCTAAATGCACTGAGTTGCCGCCATGTGATTGGCTGCTTAGAAATTAAGTGTTAACGAGCAGTTGGACAGGTGTACCTAATAAAGTGGCCGGTGAGTGTATATATACTGTATATATATATATATATTTTTTTTTTGTGCATAAAAAAACTTTATTAACATTATAAATTAACCTCAAGGAACCTGTAAACCTGTAGTTTTAAGATAATTAAAAAAAAATCCATGTCATGACCCCTTTAATTGTAAGAGTGAAGATTCATATGCATTAATTTAATGTAAAATAAGCATATGCTGCCTTCAAGTCACTGCATTAATGAGTAAGCGCACGGGAACAGCAACACCTGCTCATTATTACTAGTGAGAAACGCCTTTGTTTTTGAGCCCGGATTTTTTAGGGTGAGTCAGTGAAAATATCATGGCAGAAGATAACTAGTATTGGACAGACTTAGCTGATTTTAGAGGAAAAGTGCTAGATTACACTTAGCTGAAAGCAAAAGCAAGTTGCATAACTAATGCTGCTGCACATCTTTTGTACTTTTAGTTTGTCTTAGTTTTTTTGCTGTGTGAGTAGATGGAAAAAGTGAGAAAATATATCAAATTACCTGCGTCCATTTGTTCCAGTCAAAATTTGTACAAAACTACATAAGACTTATCTTCCCAGGAGGACTTGAAGGCAGCGTGATGCTGGTAAATGTGAAATGTTGCATATTGCAAGCTGCGAAATACACTTTCTTTCAGCTGTTTTGTTTAGCCTGTCGAGTTCACTTTGAGCAGCGGCGCATAAACTGAAGCTTAGACAACCATATAGACACACAACAAATTAAATGCAAATACATATTAACCGATGGCATGATTAACACACATCCAGCCGTTGTTTTCATGTTACAAACAGTCACAAATTTGACAGAAACATCAAAGCTCCTGCATGCGTGAGAGCGAGGATGGTGTGTGTGTGTGTGTGTGTGTGTGTCGTCATTCATGACAAACCAGTGTGGTTTTAAATAAACAGCAGTGGTTGCGAGTGGAGTGAGAAGAAACAAAAAGAATCACTGTGAAACAATGGTGTGAATTAAATGATTCAAGTGAACGAACTGCTCGTGTTTCATTTAGTTGCATCAGAGAAATCAGCGATGTTGTTTTTCATCTAATAACCCGGTATAAAATAATTGGAAGTGATATTTATGTTATGATAACTGGCTCTCTTCCATTCAGTTCTATTACATTAAGGATTTATTAAATTAAATAAAGATATACAAGCTTGCTCTTCATTCTGAAATGTCTCATAGTCTTTCCTTTCCCTCTAAAACACACTCGGTTTCAAAACCCGATAAAAACATCATAAATATCCTCATAACGGGATCAAGTTGACAACAAAATATTCAAATAAGCATGCATATACCAAATATAGTCAATTTTAATTCAATATTTGAATCAAAAATATTTGGAAATCAAATAATTATTTAATGCATAATCTAATAATTATATATTTAATGCATTGTGGGATTGCATTTGCCAATAAAGAAGTTATTTTAGAACGGGCACAATGTTTTTGTTAAGTTTAGGCATAAACACACAGTAGGTTTTGAAACGGATCTAGAGACACAGTAGTAGATCTGTCTGAAGGAGAGACACAATGTTCACACACTGTTTCCTTTGTGCTCAAACACCAGTACACTTCATGTCCATTTCAAATAATAAATCTGGAGACATATTCATAAATACTTCAGGCCGACACAAAACCCTTGTGGTTCAGATTTTTAAGATCTGGTATCTCACATTCATTCTTGTTTCAGGATGGAAAACTTCATGGTAAACCAGTGTGTGAACATTTCCTCTGTTTTGATCCGTACTACACGTTTCCACAAGGAAAGGCACTCCAGCACTGGACCAAACATCTCTCACTGGACTGTTTTAATGTTACAAAGAGATTAAAGCCTTGGTTATCTCCGGATAGCTTTGACAGCTGTGGCTTTTCATGTAATATGGTTATAGGAAAACCTCTGCTTTTATCACTTGGTGCTCTTCTGTCAATTTTGACCGGTTTGTACTTCATCGAAATGATGCGAAACTTGGTAAAGGTTTTGGCACTTGCTATGTGAAACACACACAAATCATGGGAATGATTCAAAAATGTATAAAAAATAGTCACACTTGTACTCCATGTGGTCAAAAATGAGCGCATTGGAAATGAATGGCAAACGAAGTTCATCTAGTGGAAGCGTTCGGTACTGCGGCCAAACAAAATCTGACTGAAAGACTGAAAGCTTATTTTTTGAGATATTAATCTACAATTTAGAACACAACTTGTTAAGATTTATGGCTTTGACTTTCTCACAGTTTTAGAATAAAACGAGTTTTGAAAAATAAATATCTCATATAAACATTGAAAATACTATTTTTTGTATATTTTTTATCAAGATAAAATAAAACTTAAAAAAAAAAACCCTTCAGCAATAATCTGCCAAGTTTCTTTAAAAGAGACCAAACTGAAGTCTGTGCTACAAAGCATTCGAGATTTATGACAGTTTAAGTTGGAAATTTCATTTTAAAAAAATGCTCAAAAATAGATTTTTAGTACCAGTAAATCCCATAAAAATACAAAATATTAAAAAAAAAATGTATCAACTAAAATATTGTATATTCATTGAAATAAAAAAATCTGTCATTATTAACTGCCATGCAAGACGCACCAGAAAGTGCATATATATATATATATATATATATATATATATATATATATATATATTGACATCAATATTTATTTTAATTATATTTAATTATATAAAATAATATTATTGTCAATTTGTCTGCCTATTAACTTATTAAAAAAAGATTTTTACAGTCACATACATTGCATTAAACGTTAAATTTGTGCATGCAGAAGACATGGCAATTATAAAAAATAATCTAAATCTAAATAAAGGGATTTTCATAATATTCAATTGGCGCAATGTTTATATCATGACATTCAGAGAAAAACAATGTCGGAAAGTCAGTCACCGCGACACTTTTCTTGCAAATATCTCCCCATATTATTGTTCCAGCGACGTCTGTATTTTCATCCTAGGATAACCAAGGCTTTACAGAAAGTAAATCTACCATCTACAATGCTAATGCTAAAGCAGCACATTGCGCTGTCAGGGGGTTCACGTCCACAGAGGAACTGCAAGGACACTTTGGAAGCGTATATCTGGTCTTTAAGTTCAGAGGCAGATGAACGAGGCACTGACCTCGGGTCTGAAACTGTGTGTTCTGGCGTATCTACTGAGTCCAGGGGTTCCCCTGGCTGCGGCTGACCCATCCGTGCCACTCTGCCGGTCTAGACACCACTCCTGTGAGTGAGTGAAGGAGGGAGAGGAGGAGAGGAGACAGAGGGAGGTGCATGGGGATCGGTGAACGACAAACAGAATCCACACACACGAGACGAGAAAGAGTGGGGGGGGGGGGGACTGAAGGTGGGTTTAAGCAAAACTCAAAAGTGTGAAATGCAAGAAAGGGTGGCACACATTGTTTGTAACTTCCAAAAATGATTATGAATTAAATAATAATGATTCAAAAGATGAAAAAAAAAGAGAGAGAGCCAGCAGGCTACAAGACAAAGAAAAGCGCAAAAAGAAAGACCAACTTAAAGATGATGGCGTATGAGAGAGACGAGAAGAGAACGAGAATGAGGAGGAACAGAATCATGGGCTGAAACATCTGGGAACGGGATGAGGGACAAAGAGAGAAGAGGGGAAGGGCCAAGGGGAAAAAAAGAATGCAAAACACTGGTTATGAAGCGCATGCGATGGGGATACATGAGTCTTACAACCAATAACCCATAATGTGCAGTGACAGCAGGGACTAAACGCTAATGGAGTCGAGCCAATGCAAGCCTCAGTCAAAGCCCTAATCCTTCAACCCGATGCCTAGAGCCTTTGGGGGGGTTTTACTAATACCACTGTAAAATATAACTTAATTAATATTAAGCTAATAAAAAAATTATAATCATAATTAAAATTAAGAAATATTAATTGTTTAACTGAATAATTAATGAATACATTATTATTTTAATTATTAGCTTTACTAATATTAAGCTGATAATCAAAATGATAAAAAACACTATATAGTTATTAGTTACATTAAAATAATTTAAAAAATAATTTATATAAATTAAAATATTTTTAAAAAAATAAAATATTTAAAATTATTAAAATATTTTTTTTTAAATATGTAACTATGTAAACTTTACTTTCAGTGTATTATTTTAAATAATTATAACTACATTAATTAAATTTACTTAAATATTGGATTTAATAGGCTACAATAAATAATAATTATGATATACACAATTTTTTATATGATATACATGGTACAGTGTTGGGTCACTTGATGTTCAATGTAAAGTCCCCGTCCTGAAAGCAAGGCCATTCGAAACCATTCGGGAACCATATATATACAACAGAAATTAAAATGACAGTTATACTTACACTACCGTTCAAAAGTTTGGGGTCGGTACGATTTTAAATACTTTTAAAAGAATTCTCTTCTGCTAACCATGGCTGCGCTTATTTGATTAAAAATACAACAAAAATCAGTTATAGTATTAAATATTATTCCAGTGTAAATCAGCTGTTTTCTGTGTGAATATATAGTAAAGTGTAATTTATTCCTGTGATCAAAGCTGAATTTTCAGCATCACCAGTGTCAGTGTCTTCAGTGTCAAATGATCCTTCACAAATCAGTATAATATGAGGATTTGATGCTCAAGAAACATGTATTATTATTATCAATGTTGAAACAGTTGTTGGTCTGTCAGTTGTACAGTTTTTTTTTTTTTTTTTTGGATTCTTTGATGAATAGGAAGTTCAAAAGAACAGCATTTGTTTGAAATAGAATCTTTTGTAACATTATAAATGTCTTTACTGTCCTTGATAAATAAAAGTATTGATTTCTTTCCTCCAAAAAAAAAAAAAAAAAAATTCTCACTGACCCCAAACTTTTGAACGGTAGTGTAGGTATTAACAATTAGCTTGCTAAAGCTAAACTAACTAAGAATCCCCCAAACAAACGTATTATATTATACTATATAACTGCCATTGGTGTATTGTTTGATTATAACTGTAAGTTTGATGAGGTGGCTACAGGCTTTTTGGATGAGGCGTAGCAAACAGCTCCAGGCCGGGTAGGGTTTTGACAGGGGCTTGAATTTGGCATGACGGCAACATGTTGCTCACAGCGAAGCTCAGCCATGCGATGGAAGCAGCGTAGCAGTGAGCTGAAGCTTTAAATACACATCCTATAGGAGCGTTCTCAGGGCTGTAGTCATTAACTGGTGCGGGACATCAAACTGTTCAGAGGTGAACAGGCTGTGACTTCATGCTGGATGAAGAGTGTTTCTGTGGTTGGATTGAAGTGACGTGACCCAAAGCAAAGAACCGATGGGTTCCACCAATGAACATGAGCCAAATAAGTGAGTTAACCAATCGGAGTGGAGCAATGTTGGAATTCTGATAAACTACAAAAATATCAATAGACGTCAAACCCGCAGTTTTAAAGAAAAGGTTATTTGTTGGAAAATTGACTCATGTTATCATAAAGCAGTTTCAAAGCACAAAGCAGGAAAAAAAGCTATAAGCAGTTCTATGGAAGTTGGCATATACTGTACAGGTGAAACTCGAAAAATTTGAATATCGTGCAAAAGTTCATTTATTTCAGTAATTCAATTAAAAGGTGAAACTAATATATTATATAGACTCATGCAAAGTGAGATATTTCAAGCCTTTATTTGTTATAATTTTGATGATTATGGCTTACAGCTTATGAAAACCCCAAAGTCAAAATTAGAATATTGTGAAAAGGTTTTCATAAGCCATAATCATCAAAATGATAACAAATAAAGGCTTGAAATATCTCACTTTGCATGTAATGAGTCTATATGATATATTAGTCTCACCTTTTAATTTATAAATGAATAAATATAGAAATAAATGAACTTTTGCCCGATATTCTAATTTTTCGAGTTTCACCTGTATGATACTTAAGCATGTGAAACTCATTCATTGAGACAAAAGACAGATCAGCTGCATTATTCCTGAGAATGAGCAAGTCACATAAATATACAGAGACACAGACATTCAGTGCATTCAGAGTAGGTTTACAGTTCATTCGGAGCCTCTGGAGGTTATTCCCGAAATAAAAAACGCAGTGTAAGCACTTTTTATCTGCCATATCTTATATTTATGGCTGCATGCTCCACATATGTTGCATCAGCATTAACTGTGCAAATAAAAAAACGTAGATTTGCTCAAGACCAGTACCCAGGTGATCGAAAAATAACTGGTTTTACTGCCATTCTAACTGATGTTAGTATGCATCATGCCACATCAACAGGGCCCAAAATTGACAAGTGCCAATAAATAAAAATAAAAATAAGATTAATTTAATTAGGGATGCACCGATATGAACATTTTGGCCGATACCGATATAACCGATAATTCTTTATATTTGAAAGCCGATAACCGATATATTGGCCGATAAATCTAAATCCAAATCCAAATTTCTGTAGTTTGTTATTTTTGAGAGCCTGATTACAAAAACAAAATTCTCATCATTAAAACCCCAATTTTCTTATCGGGCCGATAACATAACTTTTTTTAAAATCATGTATCGGCCGATACCGATATGGTGGCCGATATATCATGCATCCCAAAATTTAATTACGATATCCTTATTCAGAAGTGCATTATGATAATGCATATGAAAACATGAGGATTTAAAACATAATGCATGTCCACATTTTTGTCAGAAGTGAAGATTAAAGGGTTCATATAATGGTACATGCACTTTTACAAGTTGATTGTACTGAAATGTGTGTTGGCAGTGCCTGTACACAACCATCATATAATGATAAAAATCCATCCAGTGTTTTTGTTTTAATCTCCTTATATGTTTTCCCGTCTCAAATCGAGCCGCTCGACCTTGTGACGTCACACGCTCGGAAGCCCCTCCCACGACTGTTGATTGACAGCAGCGTTTCAACACAGACCCGCCCTCGCTCGTGAGAGCTGTCAATCATAGTCTGCACGGACCGGCGCGGTCATTGTTGATATGCTGGAGCACTGTCTACGAGCAGAATGGCGTCTAAGCGATTGTGGTGTTCTGTTCTTGGGTGTAATAACGAACACAGTCATTTTAATGTTCCTAAATCCGAACCGCTGAAGACGCAGTGGCTGAGTTTGTTTTCGAAGGGAATATTCCCCACGAGCAACGTCAATGCTCTCATGTTTGCGCGAATCTTTTCTCACCAGACTGCTTTATAAACGAGGGTCAGTATAAAGCTGGTTTTGCTAAGAAGCTGCTCATGAAAAAAGGATCGGTACCAGATATTCGTGTTCCTGCTGAACCTCTAGAACAACTGAAGTGAGTGTAACGTTTTATTAACCTTTATATTAATATTTATATTAATCTTTGCAAATCGCTAGCTGCACGCTTCACAATGAATGCGTCTAAAGCCTCGCTCACACTACAGGAGTTTTAAAATCCTAACCGATTTTGAAATCTAGTTGCAGCTCACACTTAAGGAGAATTTTTGCAGATTTTCTTACCTCAAATCTTAAACATGCTCACACTACAAGATTTGAAAATCGTGGCGCATCACACACTACACAATGTTATTAAGATTCGTGCCAGAGAAAGCGCCTCACGTGATCTCACACAACAGATCAGAAGCGGAAAGGTGGATGTAAACAAAATATCTGTCCTTTAATATCAAGTCATATTCGTGAAAAGGTTGCCGTGTGACCAAGGAAAGCGAAATCTTTTTTTTTTTTTTAAATCATCCTTTTAATAAGGATATTTCTAATGAATGAGTCAGCTCTGTTCAATACAATGAATCAATGCCATAGATCTCTATAAGGTAAAGCATCAGCAGCGTTGCTCAATGCCCATTGCTGCTCAGCTGAGCATTGTAAAGTGGAGCTCAAAGTTAAAATTAAATATTAAAATAATTAACAGCTTGTTTCATTTAACCTATCTTTGAATGAATATAACTTTATAATGAATATAAATATTTTATAATGAAAATATTTTTGTGTAGGCCTAGGCCTAATTCTGTGAATTACACTTTGCAAACCAAAGTAATAGCCTAGCTACTACCCACCGGATGAAGAAAGGGGCTCTCAGTCTCCACAGAACATAAAATATTCATATTATTTTATTTTTCGTATTCGCATTTGAGGAAAAAACAATGTTACGGACATGACCGCTCTGAAAGCGACTTTAAAATATGCTTTAAAACTTTCACAAAGACATCAAACAGAAAGCACAAAACCTTTCTTTAAATCGAATTTCGTTTTGTATTAATTGTATCTTAATTTTAAACAATGTTTCATCAACCAATTCCCTGGATTTAATGTAGTAAATATAGCAGACGATAGATAATCACGAAACGGAGGCGTCGGCGATACTTCATATGAACCGAAACTCAGCGTATAAGATAGCCTACTTGCCTCACAGACATGTCTACTTTTAAACAGAACAATTCAAAACGAAAGAAAACAGACTACAGACTGCACTCTGCTTATGTAATCCGTATGAAATGTGCATTTCTCTCTGGCGCGTTCACTACTGAAGACCGCGTGCATCCTGCGGAAGACGGAATAGTTGCAGATGGTTCAGGATCGATATCGAAAAATCTATATTTTTGACAACACTAGATTGTAGGCTACTTAGTTTATTATTTCAGATGTCTTTATTATGCATTTAGTATTTTATTATTATTTATTATACTGTATTATGCTTAGGCCTATTTATTTAGCAATAAATGGATAAATGGAGATAATGCGCGCATCGCGCTGATGAGTCACTCAAAATTACCTCAATGGAAATTCCTTCACCATGACAGTCCTACTGTTTCTTATTGGCTATTGTGACAGTAGGCCTACTGACGTATCTTGCTCATCCCGATAAATATCAAACATGTTTGATATGATCGGGGCGAGCCCGATTTGTGTAAGAGCAGATCGGGAGGTGCAAGATTCGATCTGTGAATGCCTCACATTACCAGATAATCTGTGCCGAACATCGGAACCGATCGAGGTCCTCGACAAGATTTTTTCTCCGATTCTCGGGAGGGGAAAATCGGGCATAAATCGGCCTAAAACTCCTGTAGTGTGAGCCAGGCTTTAGGTTTACACTCAGGGTACATTTAGCATGTTTTCTATGTACGATGTTCTCAATATAATTCATAATCCCACGTTTATACTGAACAACGCGTTATGGTTATTGTGTTATTGAGTTACAAACGGTGTAGCACAGAACAGAGAGGCGGGGTGAGCAAAGCTCATGATCATTTAAAGTCATATGCACTGAAACGGCGTGCTGAAAACAGAGCTGTTTTTGACCAGGTAAAATAAGTGTTTTCTTACAATACTAATGAGAATTTTTAATTAAAGTATATTACAAACTTTTAATTTAGACCCTAAAGAATCATACTAGCTTGTACAAAAATGGCATTATATGACCCCTTTAAGGCCAGAAACAGACAAGTATGCGAGATCATTTAGGCAGCAGGTGTTTTTGCATTCATGTATTAGCTTTTTAATACATCAACTTGATGCATCGATGCACTGAAAAATGCAAGTACGTGCTCTGGCCCAGCGCTCACGCGTTTATGCGCTTGTGTTCATATAATATAATATGCTGCAAATCACACAATGATTGTGCTATTTGTGGCAAATAAATATGCATGAAAAAAATTAAATAATTTAATCGGTATAGACAACAGAAAAAAATATGGCTGTAAGGGATATTTATGGCAGGCAAATATTTCTCAGTTCACCTGCTATTGGCACAGTACATTTTGGACCCCGCAAAATGGGATTGTGGGTATGAAGAGAGGACAGGAACAGATGCAGGTGTTCATGGTGGTTACTGCTGGGGAAGGAGAGGTAAGGGCATCTTGGCTGAGCCGGGTGGCACTCTGTCATGTGTGGGTAAAGGTCATGTGCATTGCATTGTGGGATATACTAGTTCCCCATTGCATTCTGCACATTTTGGCAAATACAGCAGGTCATCTGGGTAGTCCATGCATGCAGAAAATTAATTGACATAAAAATAGCACAGGTAATAAAGTGTTAATGCTGGTGAACGAGTGTTGTTCTAGGCGTCTGGCAGACCTGTTCAACTGTAGGGGTGTAACGATTCAAATCTCTCACGGTTCTGTATGTATCACAGTTTTAGCTTCAGGGTTTCGGTACCGTTCGGTATGTGTTATGTTCAGGGGAAAAAGGACTTCCGTCAAATTAAAATAAGGAAAAGAATCTAACTTCAAGCAACAGCACAAATAAATACAATAAAGCAAAGATACTAATAAAATAGACAGTGCTAACAGGTATCTAACAGTAGTTTTCAGGTACAGAAATTGAATAAAGTAATCAAATGTAAAATAACATTGCATATTTCACTGTATAAATTAAAGATTAATCATTATTAAAGTTACAAAAGTTATTCAGTCAAGAGTAGTGACTGATTTCCTTGTCTTTTGTTGTTTGGTTAGCATTAAAAACAGACACCAGGGATATTAGGCTTCTGTCACTTTAAGACAATGCACTGATCCAATACACTGATACTGTCTTTCTGTTTACGTTCACTTAAGACATAACTGACAATGTTTGCTAGGATACTCACTAAGATGGACATGTTGACATTATTTTTGTGATGACTTGAAAGAGAACTCAATATTTGCGCGTGCACGCTTCGGATAAGTGCACATATCCACAGCACGCTCAAGTTCCCATTTGTGTCTTCTTGCTCTTGAATGTTTAAATTGGAAAGGCTTAAAACATGTGCAAGTGAGTTTAGTTTAAACACCAATTGCAAAGTGTGTTGTTCAGGTCGCACCTGCGCTCGATCTCAATCAACACCCGGGAGAAGATGGCGTAAACGACTGGTCATATTCGAGAACACGCCACTCGCATTGAACAAAGTTTACACAGAGTGGATGTTTTGTCCACTCTTTTTTGATCATCGCTGCTGTAACATATTGGAAAGCCAGAATATGTCTCCATTGACAGAAACATACATTAGACGAACTCTATCTGTCTGTTTTACGCATTGTTAATTTCAACAATCCATAATATATATGCGTCGTGAGATTTGAGATAAACCGCATTGTGTAGTGTGTAGGCCGTACACACCGGGACGAATATCGGCGTGCGTTATTCGTCAGCGTTTTTCAACGTGTTTTTTGTGTTCACACCCAAGCGATTTTCGCTTGACGATGAGCCGAGTGAACATGCAAATTAATTCCCTGACATTAGATGGCGCTTAATGTAAACAGAAATAGTCCTATTTTGTAGTCGCTGTCGCGTTTGTCATTTAGGTCTTTATGTTCCGACGCCAACGAGACCAGCAGCTCTACATTCATCTTGCCTTGCATCTTCCTCGTCTTATTTCTTCCTGGCAGTGTAGACGCTACTTGGCGTATATCTTCTTCGCCGTTACGTGTGTGTGCTCGGCAAGACCGTTTTGTGTTTGAGCGCCCCCAAGTTGTATTTTACTGTAACTTCAGAAGCTCCAGACACATGAGCAAAAGCGCCAATCTCATTGGTCGGATAGTTTTTGACGCGGCGCGTCAAACAAAAAAAACTAACCTGAGGCGTTTTTTAAAAAAAATACGCTTTTACGCGTGCCGTTTTTCACGTCGGTGTGCACACTCACATTGGCGCCCTTTGTTTAGTCACAAGGCGTTAAACGTCGGCGAATATCGCGCGGGAAATTCGTCCCGGCGTGAACAGGCCTTTAAGTGTGTGCAGAACCGTGGGTGGAGAACAGTACCGTTTGATTTTTTTTACCGAGAACCGTCACACCCCTATTCAACTGCCTACATTTACACTGTAGGTTATGTTATGTTGAGGTTATTAATCTTAAAGTGAATTTAAAAAAGCACCCGTCACAAACATCTCACCAACTCTGTCTTCTTTTGTGTCTCCTGCTGTTTTACCGTCTCATTAATCTCAGAGCAGGTCTATCAGAACATTACTCTTCTCACAAAGCTCCCATTAATCTTTTACATCGATCTTTTTCACAAATAACTTTTAACAAATGATCAGAAGTATCACTGGAAGTATAACCCTCTTTACAAGTCAAATACTCTGCCTACAGCTCCACATATCAAGCAAGTCTCTTCATTTCCCCTTTTACCTCTGAATTGGGTGTTTTTTGTCTTTGGTTTGATGAGTTTTGTCATGGGTAAGAGAACAGAAACAACTTATTTAGGGTTTTGCATTGATGTCTGCGGTCGTAGCTTGATGAAACTCACTTTAGCAATAGGTAGTATTGTTACCAGTGAAGGACATGTTTACTTCTACTGTCTACATTCAAGAGATGCTTCCAGAGCAAATCTTGACTTATAGAGTTATAAAAGGAATAGTTCATCCAAGAAATTAAATTCTGTCATTATTAACGCACCCCGAATTGTAGAATTTTCTTTCTTCTGAACAACACAGTAGATGAGATTTAAAGATTTTTTTAGTCAATGCAACTTTTAAAACTTTCAAGCTGCAAGAAAGACATAAAGGTATCTATATGACTAAACTGCTATCACTTATCCCTTTGTTGATTTTAAAACATTGGTCAACTCATGCATACACAGACTACATCAAACACAGTGACACAAACCTCTGTTTATCTTCAGATATATCTTCAATGTATGGATTAACTTGACGCTACCTTTACGTCTTTTTTTAGAGCTTGAAAAATGTAGGTCCTATTGACTTTCATAATATGGACAAAAAACAGCTGAAACATTCTTAAAATATCATCTTGAGTGCTTTGCAGAACAAAGAAAATTATGAGGCGTAAATTATGACAGAATTTTCAGTCTTGGGTGAACTATCCCTTAACATTTCTTTTTACCTTACATAAATATTGAGTTGACGAATCATGCCAGCCAAAATGAGTTGAATAGCTTCCTTTGTGGTGCTTTCAGGACTTTCAAGACTGGCGGTATATGGACATGAAGATGCAGAATCAATATAAAGGTGTATGCATTCTCAAAAAGGGACTTTCAAATGAGGAAGCAGCAAAGGAAAATGGAAGTTGCCATGTCATGTGATTGCAAACACTGAATAAAGATGAAGGGTCGGGTTACACATATCCTACCTGGAAGTCCGTCACCAGATCCCTTCCCAGTGTGCCGATGGGCGAGTCTCTTGACATGGAGGTTACAGTGGAAAGGAAGCTGCTCGATTCAGTGAGGTTGGGCATCGGGGAAAGGTCATCGACGCGATCCCGTAGACCCTCCCCTAGGTGGTCCACTTTGTCCATGAATTGCTGGAGTTCTGTACGGAAAGCCCTCATGCGGGTGTTGACCGAATCTAGCACCTGAGAGTCGGGTTTCGATTCAGCAGAGTCTCCATCGCCCCTGAACTCTGAACCCTCTACAAGAAGATCCCCTCCCAGGACTACCAGACTACCTTCGCGGATCAGACTGTCCGTATCCGTGATGAGCCGGCCCACTGTTTTTCCAAGCCGTTCAGCTTCACGCCTGACGTTGTTGAGCGTCTCTCGGTCTTCCCGTCTCCGCTGGGCCAACTCGGCCACTCCCAGCTCACCAGTATCTGAGGGTTTCTCGCCACTGGCGAATCCAGAGGTGGCCGTCTTCTCAAACAAGTCATCAGAGTCGCTCTCACCGCCAACAGGACCCTCACGTTTGGGGTGGAGCAGCAGAAGCCTGGCAGTCTCGTCCTCATCTGTTTCCCTTCGCCCGGGATCACTATCCACATCAGGGCTACTGGTGCGCATTTCCAAGTGTGCTGCCAGGTCACAGCGCTGCATATTCGAGATTAGCACCCGGTTCTCGTACTGAAGCTTCATGACCTTCCCACTTAGCTCGTTGACCTGGAGTCTAGCGGCTTTCAGCTCCTCCTGGAGTGTGGCGCCACTCCCTGCTCCCGAAAAACCATTACCTCCTCCGTTACCAGGTTTGATCGCACCAGCACTTCCACCCTCAGCTCCTTCGGACTCCCGGTCGGCTTGGCTAGGCCCGAATTTGAAGCGGTTGAGCTCGGATGTCAGTTGTTTGTTGTGGTCCTCGATCTCAGAAATGGAGCGACGCAGCAGCTCCGCCTCCTCTTCAACAAACTGCAAGTGCCGTCGCAATTCGCTTGCAGATTCCAGGGCATCGCCACCATACGGTGAGGTAGGGACACTTGAGAAGGGTTCGCGCCCAAAGCAATCCCTCTCATATTGGCAGCGCAGGTCTTCGTTTTCCGCCCTGAGGCCACGGTTCTCAACCTCCAGCTCCACAATCTTCCTCCCCAGGATGTTGGCTTCCTCTTCAACCAGTTTGAGCCGTAACCGTAACTCGGCTTCCCGGGTGGTGTGAGGTCCTCCACCGGACACCTCCGCCAGGGGCAAAGGGCTGTCCACATCGCCATATACTGATTTATACTTCTGCAATTCCTGTTCCAGTTCATCCTTCTCACGGCCAATTTTTGCCATCTTTTTACGCATAAGGGCCGATTCCTCCTTGGCAAACTGTAGCTGACAGCGCAGATCTGCACTGTCCTCCTGAAAAGTAAGAAATATGTGAATGTACAAGGCAATACCAATCATTTCGAAATTTAGCTATTTAACTTTAATTCATTTTTATTTCATTTTTAGTAATTTAGTAAATCAACAAACTTATTTTATTTCAATTTTACTTTTAAAAAAAAAAGTTTTTCCATCTAATATTATTTTATTTCAGCTTTATTTCAATTAACAAAAACAATTAGTTTGAACAATTTTTAATACTTGATATTTGAGCATTGAATTAAATATTTGGATCTTATAGTGGCAATAAACAGGTACAAATTGTGCTTTAGTGAATAAATCAAATGGATACATACATAAAAACATCTAAATAAATGATTTTTAAGGGGCAAAATATTTTCAATAAAAATGTTTATTGGGCTGTTTTTTTTGTGGCGGTTTAGATTTGTGTTGTGTTGAGTTGTTCTGTATAAGGCCTGTGAATTGATCTCTGTGTTTGTTTGTACACACCTGAGTTAAAGACTTCTTATCTTTGAAAGTTTCTCTACTGCCTCTCCTCCGCAGAGCAGTCTGAAAGACAACAAGAGCAAAGTTAGACAACGTAAAGTGAACAAGGTATATTAACAAAATGTGCATTTTCATTTCAGTTACCAGTAGGGTTGGATTGGCCAGTTTCGATTCATTCCAGTAAGGTAAAAAAAAAAAAACATTTAGTCAAACATTTATATCAAACATATTTATTCTGTGTCTTTTGACAAAACATTTTGTTGCAGCTGATATAGCAGCCTAAAGAACACTAACATTTTCCTACGGTTTTAACAAAGATACCACATCAAACCACTGGACTAACTAATATAAATATCAAACATTATTAAAGACAAGTAAACAGTAATAAAATAAGAACGAAAAAACTAATTAGTATTGCACAAATCAATATAACTGAACAAATGATGCAGAAATTGTAATCAAATGTAAAAAATCACTGCAATTTTTAATTCCCAACCCTAATCACCAGTACTGGTAACCTTCATGAACAACTGGGGCAGACAGAAGCTTTTATAAATAAATGATTAATTTTGAATAATAGCATTTCGGCATCTGATTTGATCACACCATCAATTTGAATATCATATCAAGCTTAAACCCATTATTATGTGAATTACAGGTGCTGGTCCTTATGGCAGACCTTTGAATGAAACTCAGCATTCAAAGTCGAATTCTTTATATCTCAGAAAATTACATAAGCAATACATAAAAGAAAAGAAAAGAAAAGCTGGTAAGGTTTCCATTAGCTTTGCAGGTGATCAATAGTCAACAAAAACAAATCTGCAAACGAAAATGCAGAGAATAAACAAAGCTAGTTTGGGATTTACACAGTTTTCAAGCTGGACGTTCAACTTTAAGTGCCGTTCTTTTGCACTTTTGCAAAATGGGAATTTGAAATTTTGATTTTGAATTGCAGCATAATGTGAATCAGGAAAAAAAAACAAGATGGTATAGCCAAACATTATCAAGGATTAAAACATTAAAAGGAATGGATGTGGCCAGAAAACTTAATAATCAAGAGTACACTGACTGGACAAGAATAGTATATGGTGTAAAACATTTTCAGGTTGTTACATATAGGGTGAAATCAAGCCGAACCACATGAGTTGCTTCTCAGTGTTGCCATGAGAGGCGCACACATTAGCATGAACTAGAGATGATCAACTTCTGTCATGGCAGAGCAAAAGTTTCAAAAGAATCGTACTGAGCAATAGTCAGTAAATGTGTAGCTAAGCAAACAGAAAAATAAACACATCCAATTATGTTGCTATAACCATTGGCTGACCGCACATGATCTCTTACTTAAATCAAAAATGTAAGTACTAGGTAAAGTTTGCCCTGCTTACTGCTGGTCTATCTTGAGTCATACGCTGAACTTAAATAGCTGCTGCTGATGGCTGTGTTAGCTTGAATCATTTATGGCCAGACAGATGGAAAGTGTGACATGGGTACAGGAGAGTTTTTCATCAACACACAGCAACAGAGTGCGAGAGAACCTAGATACAACCCCAAAACAAAGGAGGAGATGAGATGATGAGGTGATTTCTATGAGTCTGCAATATGGTTACAATTTACGGTTCACAATTTCCCCATTCATATTCAGACACCCTCCAATGAAGTCATCATAACTAGCTGGCACACAAACATAAGTCAAGAATTACTATTACTCAGACAACTATTGAACTTTAGTGTGCAACTCATCCTGCACAATTCATGCACCAGACATGAATGATTCCTCAAATCATGTGTCTTGTTGACGACAGCTGTATATTTACATTTGCATTTTACATTATATTAATTCACTTGGTAGATGCTTTTATACAAAGCGACTTGCATTGCTTGAGTTTTATCCGTTTGATGATTGAATGCACTGAACCCTAGTCTAGATGAACATCGGTTCCCAACAGGGGGGTCGCGGCCCACAAGGGGGCCTCAGCGAGCTCTGTGGGGCGTCGCGTCATATTTTGAAAAGTTTTGAGCAATGAGCATTAAATTAAAGTCCTTAACTTGATTCTGTTCAAAATTTACAAAATTTATATAATGAGCGAGTTCATCATGAATCCATTTTTCAATCCGTGTTTTTGTCTTATCCTGAACCACTATGGTACACCTATAATAAGTGTTTACATTGGGACTATTTTACACTGGTTCGGATCGCTGCCGCTGCGGAGTAGCCCAGTACCTGCGTGACTCGTCATAGACATACACAGAGAGAAGTAGTTCCGGCTACAATGTTCTTCCGAAAGACGCATGTTTATTATTGCTCGCTATAGCGCCAAAAGCGTAAAAAATAAAGCCTCACAAATAACTTGCAAGTATTGAGACAGCAGTCATTTAGTAATAGCCTATATTCTTTCTTTTTTTTACCTACACACCAGTGTGAATATTTTTGTTTTTTGATTTGAAATAGGGCCAATATATAGGCTTCTCCTAGGCTTACGTTTTTAAATTACAAAGGGCCTACTGATGTTTTTGTCATTGTATTTTCAATATTATAGGCTATTATTTGTGCATAAACATATCTGGTTATAGTAAACATACCGTTTGTTTAAAAAAAAAAAACATTTTGTCATCCTTGCTGCAAGCTTACAAGAGCGATAATATCATTAAATGTGAAGGGGGGTCCTAAAATATTTTCTTGGGAAAAAGGGGGTCCCAGACAAAAAAAGGTTGGGAACCACTGAATGTCAAACATACTAAAAACTACATTGCAGTGCCTTGGAAACCAACCAGAACACACTAGCATTGTGGCAATGACTTTTGTAATTTCCAGAGAGACTGCAACGTCTTAGCATAAGTAATGCACACACACTGATCATGTTACACAAATGTATTAATGCATTAGTGCGCAAAATACTCTTGGTCTAATTCTCTCCAGCCCTCGCTAGCATGCGAACACAAATACAGTTACAAAACACCTGCAACAATAACGCCACGCATCCGCTCTAGAGGAACACATGGCAACTATTCACAATTCAAACGTGGGTCGAAAATATGATATTCTGGTGTCAGTCCTTCTTATATTTGTACGATTATCTGTTTTGGAAAGGCATCACAACACGCCTGTACTCTGCAGCCTGCGTGCATGTGTTTTGTTAAGACTTATGTAATGTAAGGGGTGTAGCTTAGTGATAATGAAAAAACAAAGTGAGACTGAACACTCGCTCCTGGAGATGCAATACGGTGCTACTGCAAACTGACGAAAAACATCTCAATTGTGTCTCGTTTAGTAATAAGATTTTATAGAGAAAACAATTGATTTTTACTGAATTCTTCTGCATCTGTAATTATGTCAATATGGAGATTTCTCATCATATTTTTTCCCCAAATCAAATTATCTGAGCTGCTATCCACATTCAGTTTAAAGGAATTGATTAATGTCTGCTTATTTGTATTCCTCCGGAGAAATTTAAGAAACAAAGATTGATAATTAAAAGTGTCCTTATATAGGCTACTACTGTTTAAAAGTTTGGGGTCAGTAAGATTTTTATGTTTTAAGAAATACAAACTTTTTTTTAACAAGAATGCAGTAAAATGATCAAAAGTGACAGTAAATTTCATCTATAATGTTACAAAAGATTATATTTTAAATAAATGCGGTTCTTTTGGACTTTGTGTTCATCAAAAAATCCTGAAAAAAGGTATCATGGTTTTCACAAAAATATGAACCAGCACAAATTTTTTCAACATTGATAATAATCATAAATGTTTCTTGAGCAGCAAATCATCATATTATACTGTTTTCTGAAGGATCATGTGACACCGAAGACTGGAGTAATGATGCTGAAAATTCAGCTTTGAACACAGGAATAAATGACACTTTATGATGTTTTATTTTAACAAGGTTCGGGAGGAGCAGGTGCAGATAATTACCCCAATCAGCACAAGTGGAGATCAATCAGTAATCAACTCAGGACAAGATAAATAACAGCGGAACCCACCTTTGTTCCTTGACAGTTTATTAGTATCCCACCTCCACCCCATCTCCTCACTTTTAGTTCCATCTACTCTTACCAACGGGGGGAGTACTCTGGGTTCGGGAGAAAATTCCGAGCTCGGAGCCCTCCACCCGGACAGCACGCCAAGTACGCATAACCTTTACCATAATAATTATATGTAGATGTGAACTCGTGAAACTTTATTCAAATAGAAAACGGTTGTTTTAAATTACGATAATATTTGACAATATTACTATATATTTGATCCAATAAATGTCGCCCTGTTGAGCATAAGAGAATTATGTCTTTTTTTATATTAATATATAATATTTAGGCCTATATATTTTTTTTTTTAATTTCCACTGGACTCAATGATAAATATACACTCACCTAAAGGATTATTAGGAACACCTGTTCAATTTCTCATTAATGCAATTATCTAATCAACCAATCACATGGCAGTTGCTTCAATGCATTTAGGGGTGTGGCCCTGGTCAAGACAATCTCCTGAACTCCAAACTGAATGTCAGAATGGGAAAGAAAGGTGATTTAAGCAATTTTGAGCGTGGCATGGTTGTTGGTGCCGGACGGGCCGGTCTGAGTATTTCACAATCTGCTCAGTTACTGGGATTTTCACACACAACCATTTCTAGGGTTTACAAAGAATGGTGTGAAAAGGGAAAAACATCCAGTATGCTGCAGTCCTGTGGGCGGAAATGCCTTGTTGATGCCAGAGGTCAGAGGAGAATGGGCCGACTGATTCAAGCTGATAGAAGAGCAACTTTGACTGAAATAACCACTCGTTACAACCGAGGTATGCAGCAAAGCATTTGTGAAGCCACAACACGCACAACCTTGAGGCGGATGGGCTACAACAGCAGAAGACCCCATCGGGTACCACTCATCTCCACTACAAATAGGAAAAAGAGGCTACAATTTGCAAGAGCTCACCAAAATTGGACAGTTGAAGACTGGAAAAATGTTGCCTGGTCTGATGAGTCTCGATTTCTGTTGAGACATTCAGATGGTAGAGTCAGAATTTGGCGTAAACAGAATGAGAACATGGATCCATCATGCCTTGTTACC